CCAACCCACCTTACTCTTCTCTACCAGTGTGCTCTTTACATCTCCAACCCAGTGAGGCTGGTTCCTTTCTTGTTTCTTTTCACAGCCACTTCTCCCTGTCTTGTCTCTGTGATTTAATTCTTCTGTAGTGGCATGGCATTGTTCTTGGCTCTGCATAGCAACCAGCTGTAAGCTTGCATAGTCAGTTCCAAAAATATTGGAAAATAGTGGATAAATAATTCTAAAGTGATGGTGTCATGGTTTAACCCTTGCTGGGAATGAATGATCTCACAACTGCTCACTCATTCCACCCTGATTCTCTTGCCAGTGGGAAGAAGAATGGCAAGGAAAAGGTAAACCTTGCAGGTTGACATAAGAAAAATTTAATAATTGAAACAAAATAACACAACAACAATAATGATAGGCTGGAGGTAACATAAATATAGAACACTACTAATAATGCATAGAACATAATACTAAATATGCTAATAACCATAATAATAATAGCTAATAATAGTTAATAATAATAATGATAAGGAGAGGGAAAGGGTGGAAAAACGTGCAGAAACAAGCAGGTTGGTCAGAATCTGTGCTCAGTTTGTCCTGCAGCAGTGACTGGGGAGTGCTTTGCTTGGATAAATTGAAAATTGGATGTTATTGCTCGGTGTGTTGGTGCTGAAGTAGCCAGTCACACTGTATTTTATCTGCTAAGAACCACTAATTTCAGGTACTATTAGAAAAGAATACTTAAGACATTTATTACATAACTGCATCATTAATAAAAACCAAGCTGTGTATATAATCACTGTGCAATGAGCAAGTCTTTCATTATCCCTTAGTGTTGAGAAGGAAAAGGTCATTGAGAATTTTTTTTGTCTTTGATGTACAATTGGTTTGCTTTGTTTTTTTACTTTTTTTTTTCCCATCAAGTTTTATGGGATGCTGGATTCCCCATCACATTTTTATCCTGGTTTTCACCTACTGTCTTTGACAGCTGAGTGTTTGTCCACTTCACTAATCTTCATACCAGAAGTATTTTTCATGAAATACATTTTTGTATCCCTAGCAACTAGCAAATCCTCGCTACTCATATATGTAATCAGGAACTGTAACTCAAATTTTCTAAGGTATTCTCTTCCTGAAGAAATTATTTAGTCCCCAGTGACAGCCACCTTTGCATTGTAACAGTCACCTGTTAATTCTTATTCTAAGGTTTGTATAAAAATTGGTTGTTCATGTCCATGTGGATCAGAGATCTGGGTTAATATTTAATAAAATTAAAGAACCCTTCACTCTCATTACATATTTGATGGAAGGTGTGAAGGTGTACTCGACCTAGTGATTGAGCCAAGTGGCTGGGGTTTTTGACTTTACCTCTTTTTTTTTCCCCAGAGTCTTGTGTGATAGGATCATAGAATAGTTTCTGTTGCAAGGCACCTTTAAATGTTAAGTAGTCCAAGCCTCTGTCTTTGGGTAGGGACATCTTCAACTAGATCAGATTGTGCAGAGCCTGGGCCAGCCTTACTGGGGATGGGGCATCTACTACTTGTCTGTTCAAGTGTTTCACCATTCTCATCATAGAATAATTCTTCCTTATATAGTCTGAATCTATGATTTTTCAATTTAAAACAGTTACTGCTTTTCTGGTTGCTACAGGGCCTGTTAAAAAGTGTTTTTACCTCTGTTTAGGTACTGAAGGGCCACAGTGAAGTCTCCCCAGAGCTTTCTCTTCTTCTTAGGCTGAACAACTCCAACTCTCACAGCCTTTCCTCATAGGAAGAAGGCCCTACGCAGGGCCTGCTCCAACAGGTCCATGTCTTCCTTGTACAAACAACCCTAGAGTTGGACATGGTACTAAGAGTGGTGGGGTCCCATGAGAGAGGAGTAGAGGGGGAAAATCGTCTCCCTCAACCTGCTGGTCACACGTTTCTGACTAATGTTCAGCCTCTCACCCACCAGCACCCCCAACTCCTCAGCAGGGCTGCACTCAATCTGTTCATCCCAGCCTGTGTTGATAGTTGCCCCAACTCAGATGCAGCACTAGGCCTTGAACTTCATCAGATTAATGTGTGCCCACAGAATGATGTGCAGGTTCCATACATCAGTTCAAGAAGTGGGGAAAAAACCCCCAATAATCATAACAGTGAGCGCAGGAATTAATATTCAGTCTTGTGGAACTAACAATGAGGACTGTCTTGCAAGCACTCAAGAAGTAAGAGCAAACGAGCAGTTCCTGCAGGAAGGGAGAGAAGTCTTCCAGAAGGAGATAAATCACAATGCACAGGAAGAGCACTGTTTTAACAGCTGTCACTGAATAGCTGTTTAGAGACACACCCACACAAATTTCCTTCTTTGTCTCCATAGCTCTGTGTCTTGCCACATTCTTGTCATTTGCCACATTCTTATCATTGTCTCCCTTCTAGAAAATGACCTCTTCTTTTTCTAGAGGTGTTTAACACGTAGAACCTGCAGTAGTATAGGAGTTCAACTCTGATTGAAAAGCTACATTGTGTAAGGTTTTTTTGAAGAAAATTTGTTGCTTTCGTATCTCTGAGGGATATGAAAAGCATATAGTTCTTTATTTTTTAAGATTTGTATAAATATTTTGCAGCATAAATTTGACTCAATTGAAATATAAATGCAAAGATATTTATTATAAAAATTAAATGTGTATGAAGACAAAAGTCACAGTAGTTTAAGTCTTTCTTTCTGTTCTTTGATGTCTAACTATGAAAAACATTATTTTCCTCAATGGGAATCTTGCATATGTGTCTATGGGAGGAAGAAAGAGTTCAGATAGGTTACCTCAATGTCAGTGACAGTTTTGACCTTTTTTTCTATGTGAATTGTTGGGGAAGTATGGTAAAATTACATACAAAATAGGAGAAAATGTGCATCTTGTTTTTCTGTGTTTTGGAAATAAGTTTAGTCATCTTTTTTTGACCATCAATGTAGTGGTATCATCTACATACACTTTTATTTAGTCAAGGAAGTGTTTTGTATATCAAACTGCAAAATAAATCTAAAACACCCTGGTTAGTTTGTACTCTGAAGACATTAATTATGACGCTGTTGCTTATTTGAATAGAGCATTTAACATGGTCTACTTCTGGAAAACCATAAACATAGTAGTTCTTAAGTGATTTTTTTATTTGGCTCTTGTGCAGCAAAGTGATTTCAATTTTCATTATTTAAACATATAATATGCAAAATTAGAAAAAGAGTTTTCATTGTCTGTGCTTGATAATTTTATCTTTTTAGCATCTTGAACTTCTTCAAGCATAAGCGTCCATAATGTCATTGCAGCCCTTTTTGTTGTAGCTGTAAAGTATTATTTATTGTTTAATATGTTGCTGAGTTGGGAACTCAGAATTGTCTCTGTATTCCTTCAACAGTGTTGCCACAAATCAGAGACTACTGGTAAATTCAATTTTCCGGGAAAACAGCAATTCAGCATTACATCCTGTTACGTTATGTTTTCATGCATGGGTTTTTTTCCTCACCCTCCCACTCTGATTTTCAGCTAGTGTCCTGACAATCTATGATGGCTTCTTGATTTTCTGGAGAAGCAGCTGTAAGGTTTTTTAAGTATCTCAGACCATGCTGTAAGAAAATATGAAGCAAACTTCTGTCTGTTTTATATGCCACTCTGTAATTTTTTCATGTGCTGTTGGAACATGGACATCATTCTTTACTAGCAACTGGTCACAGTTGAACTTGATCAGGAAACATCCTCTGAGAGCTCAATTTTTGACTCTTTATGGATACAGTTGTTTTTTTTTTTTCCCTAGATGAACATTAGGATTTTTTGCCGGAATAAAGGAAAATTCACCTAGGTGCTTGTACTCCAAATTAATATTAAATGGCATTGCTAGAGTGTTTATATGACTTATTGTACCTTACAATACCTAAAAAGCTTATCCCTATTCCAAAGCTTTGAGGAGAATTCGGCTATTGTGCAGTTGACTTTTAGAGAGCCTTCTTAGAGAAAGAACTTCAAAATTTCCCACTGAAACATGAATTGTCTTTTATCATAATACACACATATAAAGGGTATTTATTGGGAAATGGCTAACCACTGTTACTCTTTTAAATGCCACTAAAGCATGAATGGTTGTACATTATGTTCAGAAAAAAAATGATAGATGTATCTAACGTTTATGTAATCTGAAGCTGCAAGTGCTCTTGTAGACTGTCTTACCCCTTTTGCATATGAGTAGTGCTTTCTACAAATAAGCCCTGTCTTCCCCTAAGAGGAGAATAGTAGCAGAGAGCACTAGGCAGATACCCTCCAAATAATACCATCAAAATTATTTTTGAAAACTCATTCACATAATTCAAAAATAATATTACTTTAAAGTAAATTATCAAATAAGTTAAACCAGTTAAAAAGATTGTCCTGAAGTGGACTGATTCTTCTCACCAGGAGAGCAAGGAAGCGAAGAGCTTTGCTGTGGATTGTGATGCCTGTTGCTGTATTAATACAGCAGCATGAGGTATTCAGAATTCTGGTAGTGTATAGTCCAATTAAAGTTTAGCAGCATTGTGTTCTACTCTTTCATCTGATAGGAGGGAATAATCAAGTTTGGAATATGCATGTCAGTCTACATTTCATCTTCTCATTGTGGGGAGCTGATGAGCATTCAGTGGGATCAGTGTTCCTTCCAAAAACTGGTTTTCATACTTCTGTTGATTAAGAGAGTGTATTTGGATATATGCACATAAATATATGGAAGTACTTGAATGGATGCACTGATGACTTTCAGTAAGTAGAAAATGCAGTAGGAGGTTTGCCTTTTGGAGAATGTAATACTGATTTTTGTAGCAGTTTATTGAGAAAATAAGGATACTAAGCTCTGTTCATTTCTTTGGTGGCTATTAAATATAAAGTTTTTTAAACCTAGCATGTATACTAAATATGTGAAGTTTATTCTGTTTGCTGTTTGGTAGAATTTTTTTCAAACTTTTGAAAGTCCTTAACATTGAAGGAAATGAAGGTAACTTTTTCCTTTCTGCCACAGATCCAAACATTTAATGTTGAGGCACCATGCCAGACGGTGGAAGACTTAACAAGTGGGGTTGTGATGGCCCAGGTTCTTCAAAAAATGTGAGTAATTGTTTACTTAAATACAGATGGATGAATTAAATGCAGATTTTTTTTTATCCATACATTTTTATATATTTACGTATGTTTTACTGTGGCAGATATTCTGTAAGGATGTGGCTTAGGTGTTACTTTAAACTGGAACATGACCAATGATTTTTTTCCTTGTAGTTTATGGATAACTATCTTAAATGAAAAAAAAAAAAAAAAGTTTTGTTTTAGAGAAGAGTTTATTCAAGTGTGGACTTACTGGGAAGTAAGGTAAATTAAAACTAAACTTTGATTCACACTTAAAATTGAAATCAGTGTAAGATAAGATAATTGGCCCTGATTGTTGTTTGAAACTATAGTCAGTAGTGTTAGAATTAGTTTAATGTAATAAAACTTTCATGATAAACTGAATGAAACTGTCAGTTTAATTGTTAGCAGTTGAAAGTATTTTTCAGTTTGTTTCTACTACCCCTTGCCTGTTCACGAGACACCACTGAGATTATGTGAGAGCATAAAGAAGAAGGAGTCATTGGGTTATTTATACACAGGATTGATAAGATCCTACTGAGCCTTCTCTTTTTGAGGCTAAACAAACACAGCTAACTCAGTCTCACCTCATTTGACAGAAACTACCGTCTGTTAATCATCTTAATTGCCCTTTGCTGAATTTCCATGTATGTCCAGTTGTCTCTCTCTTAGTAGGCAATCTTGGATGCAGCAGTTCAGATACGGTTTTACCAGATCTGAGCAGTACCTCCCTTGGCCTGCTGGCAGTGATCTTCCCAACAGAGCTCAGGTTGTGGTTGGCCTTCTTTGCTGCAAGGGCACATTGCTGGAGCATGTTCCACTTGGTTTCTGCCTAGTTTTTTGTCTGCAAAGCTGTTTTCCAACCAGCTGGCCCCCAGTATATACTGGTGAATAAGGTTTTGTTTTTACCTACCTTTTCTGAAGTGTGTAAGGTTCCTCGTAGCTTCTTTTTCCAGCTTGTCAAATTTCTCCTAAATGGCAGCACAACTATCAGTGTGTCAAGCACTCCTTCCATTTTCATATTATATGAAAAATTGCTCTCTGTCACATTATCTGGGTCCTTATTAAAGACATTTAATACTATTGACCCCTTGGATATGCCACTAGTGAACAAATTTCACTGATTTCCAGCCTCTGGCTGGATTTCATGCTTCTGAAACCTTTAAGCCTAGCATTTCAGCCATTTTTCAGCCCGCCATGCTATCCTTTTACCCTTGTCATGCTTCATCAGTTCTTCTATGAAGATGTCATCCTGATCAGGCAGTCTATAGCCGGAATCTGTAATAGTGTCACTCATGTTTATCTGCTTAGTCATTCTGACCAGCAATCTCTCAGCTGGCTCATATCCATCCTAAGACAGAGCTCATGCATTCCCTCTGATCTGTTGCAGGAAGGGTGTCTCTCTGTCACTGCCTTCTTAACTTGCTCTTCCTCAATAGCCTGTATATGTTCATGGCTGCAGCCTTGGTATGTGAGCCATCCTACCACAATTTCTTGATCCCAGTGAAACTGTGACCTTGTTAACTACATACAGAACTCTCTTCCTGTTTGTTCTCCATGCTGCATGCTTTAGTACACAAGTGCCCCACGTATGCATCCAGTCTTCCTGATTCCCAAGAATGAAGCTTTCCCCAGTCCTGTATTTACGTGCATGTGCTTGGGGTGATCCCATTTTCCCTGTTTTGTTGACTATGAAGTGTCTTTCGTTCATATCATTCCTCATCCCTAGTTCTTCAACATAGTCCACTACTTTGTCACTTAATGTTCGTTTTTCTGTTGTTCCTTGTATAAAACCGTTCTTACCACTTTGGCCAGCCTGTTTGTGAAGATGTGTCTGCCCACCATAGTCTGGTGGATCCCATCTCTTCCAAGCAATCCTTATTTTAAAAAGGATTTAATGGTTGTCGAAACCAAAACTTTGTTGCCAGCAGTATATCCCAGCTGGTTGTTGACCTGTATCAAACCTCCTTCTCACTAACTGGTGCAACAGGTGCAACTAAATGGTGCAACATAACTCTTGAGCCTTGACCATAGCTTCCAAAGCCACATAATCACACTTGGCACTTCACAGGTTTCCCTGTCTGTACAGCTTGTGCCTAGGTGGAAGAGCTTTCCTCCTAGTGAGAGAAGGAGCTGCCAGTTCACCGGAAGAATGAAAAAGGGGGAACGGGAAATCTCAATCTAGTCAAATATTTCAAAGCAAGACTTTTTGGCATGTGGTTCTGAGATACTGTTTCCAGCTGATAAACTGATATTTTAAAAATAAATATACAATACAAATATTGCATTTCTGTAGCATGATTTTAAAATACATAAAGATCACCTAAACAATTTAGAATTCTTTCTTTATGTCCTATGTAATAATTTGAACATGCCAAAATTAGTATTCATCTATCTTACTTTATGATAATTGTGCTTCACATTTAACATTTTGCATAATTATATAATGAACAGAATCTCATGCTGAAATTTAGCAACGGTATTGCTAAATCTGGACTGCATTCCTGTTGAGATAAACTTTGAAGAGCAGCAACAATCTGACCTTAGACTGTAGTCTGATCTTGGCAGGAATGATAACGTGAATAATCTCTGAGAGAAAATATTGCTTTTTTTGTTCTTCTTTGTAAAACAGAATAAACAGAAGATATGTAGTATAAGATGTGTAACAGATGATTAGTCTTAATTGATTTTTGAAGTAGAAACCAAGGATTGTAGAATAGCCAAACATTTTTTCTTTACCTGGACATGAGTTTAGAATATAGGTCAAATACAGGGATCAGCATTTGTATAATTGACTAGAAAACTGATCAGGAGCATGTTGACAAAGCCATTTAAAATATTATTTCTTGAGAACAAAACCAAATTCAACACTAGCAGTGAAATCCTTCTTTGGTCCTTTGGACAAATGCAACAGGAAGAATACTTTGCTGGGAGTCAGGGCATGTTCAACAGTGTGAAGCAAGTCTAGGTTTTTTTTCTTTTTTCTTTTTATGTCAGCAGCACTGGTTCCCACTCTGTCCCAAGAAATACATTCATGTAGAAGACAATTTTTTCAGGAACACAGCTGCATGCTTAAGGTTATTTGGAAAACTCATGCAGTGATGCTAAATAGCAAAGAGCAAGCCTGAAAGCACCAGGTCACTGTCTTTGACATGAAAATCTCTCAAGAAATTAATCTTCAAAGGAAAAACATGTTGTTTTGACTACAGACAGAACTTAAATGCCAGTACAATTATTCTATTGAGAAGGATAAACAACTGTTTTTGTAATTTGTGTTCCTTGAAAATTGGGTGTTTCTTAGGATGGGTGCTTCCTATTAAAGGTTCCTTTTAAGTGTGCATTCATTGAGCCTAATAACAATGGGATGTTAATTTGGTAAAAGAAGGGAGGGGAGAGTTCTAGCAACTTAATGTGCATCAGGATTTTACTCTAGTAAATGAATTAATTTAAAATAAATTTAAAAATTAGTTTAAAAAATAGCTGAAAGAGCAGATTAATATATCCAGTAAAGAAGAGCACTGATGAAAATTTAAAGGTGTTGGAGTGGTCCAGTAGTCTGGATAGATTTCCAGATAGGGGAGTGAGGATAGCATTTTTTCCAAAAAACTTAGAGGTCTGATAGTGAACTCTACCATTTCTATTTTTTTTCCTTTCATTTACCTTCATAGGAAGAGTCCACTGGTACTTACGAGGATTGGAGATAGTAGGTCATGATGAGGAACAGTTTTTGAGAGATCCCTAGCTCAGGGAATTAGTTGTTTTAGACATACATAAAACTTGCACACAACAGAGCTGTAGGATCTATTGTCAGAAGAGAAGAGGAAGAACATTGCTCATCAGGTGATAAAAAGCATCTGTGCCTTGTGCCAAGTAGAAGGGGTTAATAGTTTCTTCTATGGTTCTTAATTTCTAGTACATCATCCTCAGTATTTTTTGCACTCATGGTAGCAGCCCATTTGTAGGTAAGTGCCAGGCATCACAAGAAATGTAGCAGAATTTTCTTTAACAAAACTGCTGGGAGAAGCTGTGAGAAGAAAAGGTTACAGAGGAAGTTACTGACATCTTCAGAAGCTTTTCACTGTTGATGTAGTGTGTGATAGCAAATTGAAGACGTGTTCAAGGTAACCGAACATGAACATTTTGTGTACAGTCTCAGCTGTTAAAAAACAGGTGTTGCTAAATTCCTGAAGGACATTTTTTTCCTTTGTAGCATTAAAACTTTATCTACGAATTTCAGCTTGAAGTTAGACTGAATGTAATTCTCTAGTCCTAACTGTATTATCTTGGAAGAAGAAATTCAGCCTATGCTTTAGCTTATCTTTTGTGTGTTACTCTGTAAGATTCATTGTTTCTATTCAGATGTCGTGATCCATTGGACTAGTATTGTTCTCTCTGACTAGCACTGATGTGAAATACAGTAAGATAAAATGCCTCTACACATTCAGTGTTGATGATTAATTTAAAGGATGTTGTACTCCAGGAGTAAAGGGTAGAAGCAGAAGAAAATGTTTAATTTTTTTATGAATAGACTGTTGGCCTAAAATTGTGTAGCTTGTGCTGGTAGGAGTGCCATAGCTCGCTTCTGAATCACATCCTTTTTTTTGTGTAGCCTGCACTGATACTACTCATGTTTTCACTGTCCACTGATATCCTTAGAATAGCACCATTTCCTGTTTTATACTACATTTTAAAATTTTCCTTTCATCCCACTCTGGAGATTGTTATGTACCAGGTGTCCCTCTTGTTTTGATTCTTTCTTCCTCAGTCATACTGGCCCTGCTAAATGTAAGAAATGGTATGTGTTTTCTTTTGTTGACTGTGTGTTGTGCCCCTCTCAATGAATTATTCATTTGCTGTATTATACCTCGCAACACACTCTCTATTTTTTGACACATGCGAAACACAAAAGTCATGCTTTTGTATATCACTGGGGGAGGGAAATTTTGTAAACACATTTTTTGAAACAGCTTACTGTACCACTGTTAAAATGAGTAATAATCATGAGTTATACTACATGCTCTGTGGGTTGGTTTTCTTTAGAAGAGTATTTCTGTCTCTTGCATCTGTAACGCGGAGAGATGATTGCTTAAATAAAGGAAAATTTGCATACAAAATAAGATGGAGATGGTATGGATGAGCACTGCTGAAAACATCACATGAAGTGATAAAGCATTAACAACAGCATAAGTATCTTGTGCTCTGAAGAAAAGTCCCAGTTATCTGCAGTACTACTGAGATAGTAGGCAGCAATCAACTGATGCACAAATACCCTTCTAAACCTGAAAGTTATCCAGTTCTAGAGGTTATATAAGTTTGGATCTAGGCTCAGGAGCTTACTAATTCAGAATAATTCATTATAGTTCATGCACAAGTCATCTCATGGTAATGAAGATTGTACAGTCAGTTTTCTGATAGTTTAGCTGCCACACATTTTGGTATTTGCTTATCTGATGCTTTTTCAAACACTGTAAGAAGAATGCTGTTGCTTCCAAATGAAATGGCCGAAGGTGGTTAAATAATTCTGAATTTGATTGAATCCTGACCCCCAAAAATACAGTGAAGGGAGACTTGTTTGAAGCAAGTGCTGTGAATGACCTAACATCTGGAAGCCCCTTTTAAAAAATTTGTTTAGAAATTCTTGTGGAAAAGTTGTTATTTTGGGTTTGATTTCCAATAGTTTGTTATGTAGAGAGAACATTGCTGTTGGTATTAGTAATGAACTTTAATTAGACTTTTGAAGAGAAAGAAAATTATAATGGTAGGTGATTTAGGTTAAGGAAAAGGGTGATCATTCTAGATTTGATTTGTTTTGATATCCAACTTGTTGCTTTTCCACTTATTGTATTCCTGGCAAAGTGTTTTTGCAGTGTGCTATTAATTACTGTATAACCTGTATAAAGGTTCTCTGAAAAGAGTTGTTAATGCTGTTTTGACCACTATTACATGATATTGATATCAACTGGATTGCTTATCAGCTGTTGGACCTTTGGATGCTTCCATGAAGTTTGTATACATATAATAAAAAAACATAAAATAAAAAAAAATACATAAAATAAAAAAAAAAAACCCGGGATCTGTGGAAGAGGACTACTACACTGAGTTTAGATTTATTTCTCAGAGACCTTCCTCAAGTATGTCTAATGACATATCTAAGGGTTTAGGTACCCTATGACTTTCATCAAGACTGTAAAAGAGTTGCTGGCCCATGTGTTACTTAATTACAGTAGTAGCTGAGAAAAGCTGCTTAGTTTCTGCTGAATTTAAGACTTCCAGAGTGAAGTGGGTTGGACCTAACTCTGAAATCTTTTTACTGTTTCTCAGTTGATGCCCTTAGTGGTGCTGTTATTGTTGAAAACTGGATATGCAATATCAGCTACCCATTCAGTCCAAATATAATTTTGCTGTTTATACTTACCTATGTTGTTTCTGAGAACCATTACTTACCATGAAAATGGTATGTCAGGGATTGATATATTCATGCCACTGAAGCCTTGAAGCAGCTGAAGATAAGTGGCCAAGTTCAACCCTTATAAGGCACAATCCTTAAGAGAGTCTTGTTGGGTTTTGTTGCTGGGGAAGCACGGGTGCTACCTGCTTTCTCTCTGAGCTGCATAAATACTTCATAATTGTGAGTCTGTTGTTAAACAAGCTTACTTGTATGTTGGCAATTCCCAGAAGACCCATTTGACAGTCTTTAGGGTGTTTTTTGAACCCTGCATCTAAAATGGAATTGGAACTGTCATTCTTTTAAATAGTTCATTAGATGATTTTGTTGTGATTGAGTGTAAATTAGGCAAATGAAAGCTTTTTAATTAAGGATTTTTGCAAGAAGGGTTATTTGTTTCTTGTAAAAGTTGAAGGTGGACTTTCTTTATATGTCAGAGACCCTACATACACTTGAATCAGTCATTCTTAGGTTTACTTATCTTCTTGTGGCAGAGAGGCTGTAAAAGCTATTTAAAAACCAGATGATAGTCTGGATAACACATTGCTTTTTTTATTTTGTAATTTAAGTTTCTGTCATCTGTGCTAGAACTGTACCGTTTTTGAATGGAAGCAGTTTGTAATCATCAACTTAACTAGTAATTAAAGCTGTTCTTCCAGATATATGTTTGTGGATGCCATGTCAAGGGAAATGAAATATGCTGTAATCTTCACCGGAGTCTGTAACAAAGTGTGTAAAAATAGCAATGAAAATGTGTCAGTAGAGAAACATTGCTGTTTGTGATCTTCCTCCATTGCTGTGTATTGTAGTTGTAATACAGCTTGCAGACCTTGATGCATTGTGAAGACACTGTAGAAAAGATGGAATACAGCATGTACTGTGCATCAGATGCAAAACATGGCTGCAAAGTTTGTGCTCTAATAAAAGTACTGAAAGTGCTGGTTTACAGTATATATGATATAGATGTTATTTGAATCTCCAGGCATATTCGGAGTTTTCTTCAAGTTTTGCCAAAAGATCTCATGGCATCTTGCCCTTAAAAAAAGAGCTCAGTCCAGAATCCTTCTATGTGTAAAAGCCGCAGTGGTAAATCCCATAGTAATCAGTGGCAAGTGAAGCAGTGTAAGCCCAGAGAATAGAGTACTTCACCTGAAATTGTAGCACAAACTCTTAAGAGCATTTTGCTAACAATAGAAAGGTGGGGTTTTTTCGCTCTGACTGTATTAAGTTTTTATGTTGGATGAAATATGAGCCTTTCTTTATGTTTTCCTCTTCCTTTAAAACCAGTTATATGGAATACATTCTTTCTCCTTAATTCTGATTATAGCGTTTTCAAAATTCTCTGTGATAAAGGGAAAATTTGACTGAACTGAGCAGTAGAAAATGTTAGCCTTTTAGATGATCTTCGAGCTTGGCAGCAGGAGAGAGAATCTCAGGAGATGTCTTAAAGAAGCAGTTTGTGGAAGATGCTTGGAGAAAAATTAATAGGGAGAAGTCCATAGAGATAGAAGTATACTCTGCAAGCAGTAGAAAAAAGAAAAAGCACTGTTCTTTTTCTTGATTGCCTTGTCATAAGCACAGAAGATAGAAAAACTTTGGAGGAAGGGTGTTCACAAAAATATTTGGGTAGGGTTGCTGTGAAAAGAGATTTTCAAAAACTGATAGTGTTTGGTAGATGAAGTAGTGAAGTGTGTTCTTAGTCATAAAAACTTGAGGGATGCTTCCTGGTTCTTCTTGCTGCATTAAGACAGCATTTGTATTGTTCAGTTTCAGGCTTTTATTTTAGAAGTTGAATAGTTGCAAGCAGTGTGCAATAGTAGGGATCCATAATATGTGGAAAAGTAATAATTTTTAACACTTTTAAGACATGCAAGTAAATATTGCTGCAGCACCAGAGGAGAAATTAAGAAGTAGGACTTACGAGGGGAAAACTGGCAAAATGCATTCAAAATACAAAGAAGCTTCCTCAGCAACATAAGCTGCTCATGGCACACAAATGAAGCTGTGCTGTCAAAAGGGTGCAAGATCTTAGAAAAGTGAGTACTAACACAATTTTGAATGACTATATTCAGGCAATGTGTCAGATACAAGAGGTAGTAATTTAAATTAATTCAAACCTGAGATAGGAGCTTCATGACTAATGTGTACTCACAATTTATGTAACATGTTTTTAATGAAAACACTTTATCTTTCAGAGATCCAGTTTACTTTGATGAAAATTGGCTGAACAGAATCAAAACTGAAGTAGGAGATAATTGGAGGCTGAAGGTATTTGACTTACTTTGCTTGTCTGTGAACCTGTATTTCAGTTCTTTATACATATACAATATTGTCTAAATATTCTCACGTTTCTGGATTAGGATCTTGCTTTATAGCCAGTATTTTAAATTTTAGACCATTTGAATTACGCTTACTTGTTCTTATATTGTATTGTCCTGCACAGTTTTAGCAAAGATGTCTTGAATTTTTCAACAGGTTTTAATGATTTAAAAGGAAAATAATAAAATGACTGTTACGTATCAATTACATCTTGTTTTTCAAATGTTGAATGAGATATTTTATTTTTTAATGCACGCTGTGAAAGTAGGTTTTAAAAAAGCAGCTTTTGTGAGGAGAAATTGTATAAAAATAGAAACATAATAGGAAATATAATTAAAGAAAAATGGTAAAGCTTCCTTTTGCTTTTTCAGGTCTGCAGAGCTACTGAGTTTTAAGGGAGGAAGTCATGTTTTTTCTGTGTTTCTACTCAGCATGGTTTTTAACTACAGTCTGTTTGCTGGGTCATTTGTATCACTTGGCATTCTAGCACTTCTCTGCAAACCTGAAGGAAATAGAATTTACAAGAACTGTGAATGAGGAACATTTTGCTTTAGAATCTGAAGAACATGCAGTCTTCACATGCAGATGTTAGTGTGGTTTTTGGCTAGTTTTGTTCAGAAAACAATCTATGTGCTTTTCTAAATTTTCATTTTCAGCCTGACTAATTTGAGGGAAGAAAAATAGTTAAGAATTTACTGTTAGTTCTTGTTTCTTGTAAAACCATCTTGTTCCAGCCACCAGAACCCATTCTTAGCATCTGGGGAAGGACTACAACTGTGAAATGCTCTCGTACTTACAGGCTTGTCTACATCGCTTTCTGAATTGCAGGAACACACAGAATGCTGCCTGAGACAAAGATGGTGCACACTACTGTTGTTTATGTTTTAACTTAGCCAGGAAATATATCAGCATGGTTTCTGCTGTTTGGCCAGCTGTGTGAAGTCTGGAATGCTTTAGAATGTTTCGTCTACTAAGGCTGCCAACAAAAGTGAGGGTACATTGACAAGGATATGTTGATCAGTGAATAAAATACATGCTCTCTGAAAAGGCTTTAGGACTCATTTGGCTTCTTCTCTAGAGTACTTAATATAAATGAACTTCTTAAAGAATTGTATGGAATTGCAAGTGAACAGTTAGATAAAAGGTCTTTTCTGTAAAATATTTTTTGGGTTTTTTTGCTAAGGAATGTTGAAGTCTTGGCTGTTAAATGTGGGGGATAACAAATTGAGAACTGTTCATTATAGGAGCATTTGAGCTGACTGAATGTGGAGCATCAGCTTTTATAACTGTCATATGGAGTTTGAGGAATAAATATTTTATTTTTATGTCTCCCACCAATTTGGCAGATATAAAAGCTTAGCAGGTGTGAAAGGAAAAAAAAGCTGAGCAATCCAGTAACTTCCTTATGTGACTGAGGTTGGCAAAGCATCAGGTCAAATTTCAGTTTCTTGCTGATGTCATTCCATCTTGTTTTTCAAGTGTCCATGTAAACAAGAACTAAAGACTGTTTTTTTGGTTTGTTTTTTTGTTTAAGAAATATGTCTAATTCAGCTTTTTCTATACATTTTTATAGGCTACTTCCCTTTTAATGAAAAATACTAAAAGGCACAAGTGTGATACTTTAACTCTTGTTTTTTAATCAGGAAAGTAATCCTATACTTTGCCAACTGTTCTTTATATGTAAGCATTATTAATAGTCTAGTTTTCCAAATGTCTATCATCTAATCCTTCATTTAAAGTCTGGCTTGTAGGAACACTTCAGTCTGTGCATTTCTATTCATAGAATTGTTCAACCTGGAAAAGATTAAGTTGACTTTACTAAGTCCACAGTAAACCATGTCCCTAAACTCCACATCTACACCTTTCCTAAACACCTCCAAGGACAGTAACTCAACTACTTCCCTAGGCAGCCTGTTCCAATGCTTAACAATGCCTTTGATGAAGAAATTTTTCATAATATCCAATTTTAGCTTCCCCTGGTGGAACTTGAGGCCATTTCCTCTTGACCTTTCACTCGCTAACTAAGAGAAGAGATTGACTCTTAACTCACTACAACCTGCTTTTAGAAGTGTATTCATTACTAGATTTAAGATGTGCGCATCATACTTGTATGACTGTAGAATATATCTTTTACTTCATACTTTAAGTGCCATGAGAAGTAATAATTGTATTATCTCAAATGTTGTGGTAATGAACTGCATTATTTTCTTGTTGCTAAACACGGTCACTATTTGCCTCTGATGCCATCTGGTATAACAGTCACCACTTGCTGATACCAAATCAAGCTCTTGGTATCATGAACCACATAAAGGAGGGCTGGTAGAGATTATTGTAAGTCTTGTACAGCCCACCTAACCACTGCTCATAGAAATATTCAGAAAATGATAGAATCATAGAGTTGTTAAAGTTGGGAAACACCTTTGAGTTCACCTGTCACCTTAGCACCACCACTGTGTTCACCACAACCCATTATTTCACCAAGTGCCATATCTGCACATTTTTTGAACAGTTCCATGGATGATGACTCTACCATTTTGCTAGGCAGTCTGTTCTAATGCTTTACAACCCCTTCTGTGAAAATCATATACCTAATATTTAACCTAAAACTTATATGGTGCCACTTGAGGCCATTTCTTCTTGTCCTGTCACTTCTTACCTGGAATACCTGGAAGAAGGTAATGAGTGATGTGATTGTTAATTTTAAATTGTGTGTTGTCCTGTATGGAGAAAAATCAAGTCGGTTTCTTTTGTTTTGCTTTGATTTTTTTTGTTTGTTTGTTTGGTTTGGTTTTTTGTTTTGTATTGGTTTGGTTTTTTTGGAGGGAGTGGGGGAAGGCATGGGTTTGGTTAGTTTGGTTTTTTTAGCATTTCACTTTCTGATAACTGCAATGTTTTTGCTGTTGCTGTACCACTAAAAAAACCCAAACTCACAGAGATATTTTTTTAATTCTTAGTTTCAGGGCAGGTTGCCATACTTGAGAAATTGAGCAATGCACAGGAAAGAAAAAGGGAAATGCTAAAACTTGGGGAGTTTGGGAGCTTGCAAAGTAGGAACATTCAGCATGCATTCTGGTTCTTAGAGCTGACTAGATCTTTGTCTACTATATTTATTAGAGAAATGTTATTTCTCCAGGGTTAAAATATCATGCTCATAGCATACATGTGTACATATATATGTACATACATGTGTACATATATGTACATAGTAGTATGTGTTTTCCCTTGGGCAACACAAAGCTTTTCACTGGTGCCTTATCTGCAATTTTATGATGGCTTACCAAAAAAAAAGACATTAACTCTTTCTCTTTTTCCACATGTACCATGAACACTTCCGTATAGTCCAGATTTAAATGGTGTACAATATAGTATTTCATGGCTGAGGAAGATGACATCTTGAACATAAAATCTATACTGAAAATGAAGAGTAGCTTAGAAAATAGTTGGCCAAAATTTTGCAGGAATGAAATTCCCTAATCAAGAAAGAAATTGCTGATTTGATATGTCCACATCAGTTTTGGCAATTACAGAATAAACTGTTGGCTGTCTGAGGGATGGCATAGAATTGTCTCCCTTTCCCCCCATTACCTTCTATTCAGTGTGGGAAGGTTAGGAAGGGAAGGAAACACATTGTTCAGCTTGATTTCTGACGTTTTCTTCTGAACTTTTCATTTAGCATTCAGACTACAGCATCAGTTTAAAGTATAGTTTTGTTGGTGTTTATAGTAGCGATCTATGTTAGTCTGGTGAACCTTCACTACCTAGCCTTTCTCTAGGTTCCATCTATAATGAGAGATGAGACATGCTCCTGCAAAATGCAGTTTAAATCAGAAACCAAATGCCTGTGAGAGTGATACAAGCAGTGCACGCACCCACCCACACCCCCATGCCCACCCACACCTCACCCCACCTGTTAACGGTTAATTGCAAAAGGATAAAAAAGTACCTTAATGAGATACCTGAAGCGTATTGGTTGAGAATTCCCACACAACTTGAAAGTGTGACCTAGCAACATTTCCAGAGGTTATTCAAGATCTGAAATAAAAAAAGAAAAGCTACTTTACACAGAGCCTTCAGCACAAACAGGGTTTCACTCATACATGTGATGTAAGGACAATGCAGACTTGGAGACTGGCTGTCATAATGTTGGAGAAAAACCAAGAAGTTAGATAACCCATGCTCCCTTGTTTCACAAGCTTAAGGGCATTTTCTATTGCCCATGTCATTCCCTTTGTTGCACAATATATTAGTAAAGAGAGAAATCTGGACAGACTGCCCTTACAAGCCTGAGAAACAGTAAGTAAATTGTAATTAAATAGAGATTTTTATGTGGCAGGTGAGAATAAAAGAAAAATAGGAATAAAAACAAGCAACTATTAAGTCCTGTGGTGTTGGCAGATCACATAATCTCTGCTTTCATTCCAGTCAGTTTATCAGGTTAATGCTGTGTATTGAGGGTCAGTGTCATACTGAGCATTGTCTCCTTAGTATGTAGTGCTATACTACAGCCAAGATGGCTGTTTACAGAGAGGGTAATGATAATTTAACCTAGAGAATACCCACACAACCCTGGTGCGGGTATTAGTGAAATTTAGGTGTTCAAAGAATGAGTGAGAATATTCAGGTTGCCTTTGTGGATGCAGATATCCTGTCATTCATAATAAGAGATTGAGAAAGTAAACCGGAAAGGCTAGATGGTAAGAGGTTGCAAATGGATAGGGGTTTGTGCAAATGGATAGAAATATTAATGGTCCATCTGTGGTGAATTGCAACAAATTTCTGAGGTGAAATAAGGTGTAGTTGTAGTTTGTTGTTTTTTTTTACCCCAGTAAACTTCACATCTTTTCCAGCAGGAATATGGCTGCAGGGATGAATGCTAAAAGGTGTTGGGAGGGTAGAGTTTATATTTTTATGTAAAAGGTAGAAGTCAGGTTGCTGATGTAAACAATTAGACATCCCATGTAGTTATGGGCTGACATCCAAACAATGATTTAGTACTTTCTAGTCCTAATCTATATTGACAAAGTCTGTTGTGTTCTGACATTGCGTAATTTAATGATCTTTGTTAACTACAGTTAGGTTTTCCTATGTGCATCACCTGTTACGACTTAGAATTCTGATCTTATTGGTTGTCTTTAACACTTCCTTGGGCTGTTGTTCATTTTCATTCAGTTGCTTGAGGTCTTCCCTTCATATGCTTTGACCTCAAGAATCTTGCTGGAACCCTTCAGTTAAATTTCACAGTACAAAATATTAGTGTTAGTTTCCCTCTGATGATCCTGTCTCTGCCAGGGGCAGTAAAACCATCTAAGTTTATTCACTGCAAGCAAGTTAGAAAAAAAATTGAGAGCGGTCCGAGTAATACTGAAGATCATGATTAAGTTTAAGTCAATCTTAATCTTAAAAGAAATGTATAAAAAAGCTGCTTTAACCTCACAGCTGTCTGATTGTGTGCCACATACGAAGATGGTGCAGTAACTTCTTGAAAGCAGGCTACTCTGGTACTGTTGATTGACAGTGGGATGAAATAGGACTGCAAAGATTTCTTCAAAAGGTTTTCAGTTTGTTTGCTGTTCTCTTCTTTCAAGGATGCTGGCCTGTAAGCTCATTTTCGTGACAAATTTTGATCAATACTGGTTTGTTCCAGTATCTCAAATCTAAGCACTATAAAAGTTACATGGAAGAAGGTGACTGTGTTTAAGGGACTTTAATTAAAAAATGCTTACAAGAAGAGGGGAAAAAAAGTATTTCACAGGTTTCCATTTGGTTTCTCATTTTTTTTGGGATTATGTTCAAGTTCAAGGTTCCTCACAATATTCTCATCGGTAAACTGGACTTAAATTCTGCAACATGACCCTTGCGTGGCTCTTTCTGCAGCAGACTCAGGTAAATTATAAACCAGAAGATTTTAATTAATCAAGTTTGAAAATAATATTCCAATCAGTGTGCTGTCTTTTGTGGTGATTTGACATAAAAATAAAATCTCCTAATTTCTTTAAATTCTTAAATCTGTTGCAGACTTTGGTTATGATTAGATTTGGTTAGTGATTGTGCATTGCCTTTGAATGGTGGTCTTGGTTGCTCTTCGGCAGACACCTAGGAAGTAGTTGCACCTCTCATAGAGCCATGCTGTATTGCGTGTAATAGTACTGAAAAAGTCCGTGCTTTAGTGTAGAGGGTGTAAACTTCCTATTATGCCATTATGGGAGAGATAGTAAATGTTCTGCTTTATGTGCTATAATGTAGCATCTCAAGTTCTCATTCTAGGTTGTCAGGGTATTTGGTGTGTCACTTTTCAGGTTCAAATGATTTTTTGTTTCTTATATTACTTAAAATTCAGTGATTATGGACACAGTCAAGAATGTTCCTATATCTTAATAAGGAATCAACTTCTGGCACATGTTTCCAAAAGGAGTAGATTAATAGGAGTCAGGTAGTCAGACTGTTACCACTTAGGTTTACTTGGCAAAAAATATTTTAGTGTGTGTATCCTGTTCCTCTCTTGAATTTGGAATCTACTTTCATTGCCTCATTTTGTTTGTTGAGCACATTGAAGTGTTGAGTTTGTCCCTGGATTTCAGCATCACGTTTCCTAACAGCCATCAGGTCATTTGAAAGGTAAATAGCTTCTGTCAGTGGACAGAAGCTCCTAATTGCATATTTGTAGAATGCAGTCAAGAATGTAAAATTTATTGTGGGCTTCAAAGACAATTAGAACTTGAGAGGTTTTGCAACTTCATTGCAGTTCCAGTCTGCTGCTGTGGCTACTGCATTCAGTGAGAGGACTTTGTGGATCTTGTTTCTATCAGTTTTAGTCTTTGTAGATCCTGTTTAAACTTCAGTCATACAATCATTAGGTTGGAAAAGATCCTTAAGATCATAGAATCCAACCATAAACTGCCAAGTCCACCAGTAAGTCATGTCCCAGTACCGCATCTACATGGCTCTGCACACCACAGAGATGGTGACTTAATCATGTCCTGGGTAGCCTGTTAAAATGTTTGATAACCCTTTTTGATAAAGAGATGTTTCCTGATACCCAGTCTAAACTCTTTCTGGCAAAACTTGAAGATATTTTCTCTTGTCTCATCTCCTGTTACCTGTGAGAAGAAGCTGACATCCATCTGGCTACACCCTCCTTTCAGGGAATTATAAAGAGTGATAAGGTCACCTCAGAGCCTACTTTTCTCCAGGCTAAAGAACTCCAGCTCCCTCAGCTGCTTCTCTGTCCTAGGAAACAGTGCCCTGCTTCTATTATCTAAATTATTTTCTTAAATACTTGAACAGTAATTGATGGTAATCTTTAGCAGTTGCTTTCAGCAAAGTCTTCTTTCTTGGTATGAATTTCACCTGTAAAACCAATGGGCTTTTTTACAATTTTAAACACACTATTTTCAGAGACTTGATGCAAATGGATTTTTGCTGGGAATGGAGCAATACTCAGTACTAGAGAAATGTGACATTATTCTGTACAGCAGGAGGTACTTAAGTGGTGCCATTGGTTATTTGAGTGAACAGAAGCTACCTTTGTATAGCAGTGAAGTCATCACAGAGAAATGTGAATTTTGCCAGATACTGTTAGAATGACATTCATTTGTAAAAACTGGGAGGGGGGAGGGGGCGACAGAGGATGACAAGAAAAAAAATGAAAGCACTAAGAGGAATAATTAATGAGAAAAATAACAAATTAAGCTTTTATGGGTTGGGAATAAAGGATGATATTCAGCAGTAGCGGGTTTTGGTTTGGAAGAAGCGGTTTATCTCTGCAGAAAGTAGATTACTAGGATACTTCAAGAGAAGAAGGGAGGAAATTAATGTTTCAACTTCTGGATGCAAAGATAATACCAAGATAAACAAGTATCTAAAATCATTCATGCTGTAGAATCTGATTTAAAGCTTGTCCAAGACAATGTTATATTTTTCATAAATTTAAATGGGTTCTATGAATTAATAAAAATCTGTGATCACATCTGGAAGTCTGATCATAAGGGCCTCTTGCATAACTTTCATGATTCTAAATTTAACTGTGGGTAAATAGATCTAATTATATCTTTCTTTTGTGTGATTCTTCTGTGATCACCCACTTTATGATCATTTCTTTGTAAAATATTCCCTTGTATTCCTCCTTCTTGTCAAATAGGTAAGCAACCTGAAGAAAATTTTAAAAGGAATACTGGATTACAACCATGAGGTAAGAAGGCCTTCTTACTGTATCTGCTTGCCTTTTGAGTTCTGTATTTAAGTTAAGCTCTTGTAAATAAGTTGTACTCTGCAGGTTAAATTCTGATATTTTCTTGCAAACATTTTGACATATATAGTGATTCATGACCTATTCCCTAGTCTTGGCCTTCTTTAAAACTTCTCACCTGCTTTATTGAATACTCAGGAGTTCCATGGAAGACTGATACACAAATTTTCTCATGTAAAGAGTAGATGGCTTTACTGACTATAGTCTGATGATGGACTTTGTGTCTGAGGTACTGTAATATATCTGTGATTTTTTTCTTTCCTCTGCAACTGAAATGCTCTTCTTTCCCTACTTTTCTCTTGAGGAGAGTGAGTAAAGAGCATTTCTAGCCTTTTCCCACATTAAGATTTTAAACAAAATATTTTAATTCTGGGGTATTGGACTCAGCCCTTGTCATTCTCTTGTATTTTGGGCAAACACAGCACTTAATTATTCCAGAGGAGACAGTACTTTTTCTTTTAGTGGTGAATATTCAGCTGAAATACGTTTTCAGTGATGTTTGAGACAAATTGATCTGAACAGGGGGCAACACAAAATCCGTAATATGCATGTTCTAGACGTTGCTTGTTTAAAAATATTGTCTTCTCATAAATACTACAGAGATGAAGTTATTTATTAATAAATTGAAGTATTTTAGAAAGAAAAATTTAGTCTTAGGATGTCATCTTCAGTAACTGATTAGGTATCCATCTTTAAATAAATGTGGAAAACTGATGATTAAGCAAACTGGTCATGACTGGAAACACTGAAAAGAAACAGATCAGGATTTTGTTATAGAAAATTAATATTACTAAGACAAAGTGATACAATTTTCTTTTTGATTGGTTAATATGTATGATAATTAAGTCTTTGGTGGAAAAACTTTACTATTAGGCAAGTTCTGAGTGGTTTCAATTTTTAATTTGTGTGAAGGTAGTGCACGCTTATAAATATGACTGGATTTTGGTTTAGCTTAGTATTTTTCCTGCTGAGGCAATGCTGGGGGTGATAGTAGAGGTAATCTGGATTCTACTTATGAATTCTGCTTATGTTTCCCTCAACATTCCCTCCTCCACTACAAAAATATAGATATGTAGGTGGATTTTACCTGATACAGCTAAAAGCCTTTGAAAAATATGTATGTTAATGTTGTTCATCCTCAGAAATTCAGAAATTTGTCTTGTGTTCAGAAGAACAATCAGTAAAAATGCTACATTTGCTGTCTTTGTCCATTAAAGTATAGATGAACAACAAGCTTAAGTTCACTATTTATAGCTTTTGTGCTTTGTTCTGCCACAGTTTCTTCTTGCAGACCTCTGCTGCTCTGGAACTGAAACTTTTAATTTCTTTGTAAATGTATAATATATTTTGTTTTTTGAAAATAGGTTAAATGCTCTTTTTCATCTCAAGATAGTTATGGTAGAGTCTATCCTTCATTTTCTTATTTCTTTCAGGGCTTTTGATGGGTTTTTTGTGTTTTTTTTTTTTTACTGAATTTTTTCTCTTGTTTATTTCAAACTCTGTTCACACCTTCATATCCTTGGCTTCTTCCTAGTGCCTGCCAATTTTACCTTTTCCCTTCAGCTTTCTTCAACAGGAGTTCTATTGTCAGTGACTATGAAGTCACTGTATTGTTAGCTTAAGCTCAGCATTGTATTTGAACAAAATTCAGGAACTACTGATCAATATATAAATGCATATGAGAATCAAAAAATATTGTATTTTCTATTTTTCGGTCTGTACATGATGGTAATGTTTTCCATTGTGGTTGATGCATTTACAGAATTCTTTTGACCTAAAGGAAGTCTTTTCCAAGAGTAAATCTGAGTCCTTTAAAGTACACAGAGATTTTTTTAGTAGTGTTGAAGTTAATTCTTTCAGGAAACTGCTTAAAAATCCTACGTTTCCACTACGCAAAACACATCATACATAATCAGACTAAAACCACAACACTTCCACGAAACCCAACCATACTAAACTTTAGAATGGCTTATTTCCTTTGTATTCTTCCTATACACTATGTTTTTTGTAAATGCCTTAACCTGATTTATGGTTTTCTTGGGTATTGCACAAAAAAGAGCATGCAGCAAACACATGACTGATTCCCTGTATCTAGTCATTGTTTCCTTATTGCACCCTGTTTAAAAAGTTACAGTTTCTTTTTATCTGCAATTAATGTGTCAGATGTGTTTAATTCCAAATTTCATATTCATATTTTCAAAAACCTCTGTTCAGTAAAGAGCAATTTAGCAGAATTGTCTAGTTCCTTCTACTGACAATCATTAATCCTTAATGATCTTTAATGATAAATCAGATAACACTAATTGCAAGTCACATGGCTTTTGTTTTGTGGGATTTTTTCTTTCTTTCTGCATGTGGGCTGTTTAATTACATATCATTGTACTACTACCTCAGATTCTCTTCCATGGAACAGTTTTCTTAGCTGTAAGACTTGCCAGATATCCTTAAATTTGCTAGAAGTGTGAGATCTAGTGATGTGAGTTTTTTGCTGTCTTGTATTTGTCACCTGCCAGTGTTAGATATATGTATTGTATAGGGGAAACATTTAATTTTCGTACTTTGTAGTTGTAAGAAATGTCAGATTTGTGTGTAATATCTTCTGCTACAGGAGGAATTAGTTAAAAAAATTAATTGCCCATGTGATGGCCTGCTTTTGTTAGCTTTTTTATCTGAAGAGAAAGAATCTTGCTAAGTGCTTATCTAATAGGTACTGTGAATTGAGACAGTCAGGTTTGTCTTTTCCCAAGTACTATTTGTCTCAAACAGAACGATTTTATGGTGAGATGTTAGGCAATTTAGTTTGTTTTGAAGGTGTAATCAAAACTGTAAGAGTGAATTGCTGCTGTTGACTCTGAATCATCTTTGTATGAAATAAATGGATATGTGCAGTGATACAGTCAGGTATATGTATATTGTCTTTATGCAGATTCTAGGGCAACAGATAAATGACTTCACCCTTCCTGATGTTAACTTGATTGGAGAGCATGCTGATGCGGCAGAGCTTGGGAGAATGCTTCAGCTTATTTTGGGATGTGCTGTGAATTGTGAACAGAAGCAAGGTAATAAATTTTGAAAACAAGTTTTTTTTGTTATTGTACAACTACTAAGGAGAAAAATTATATTTCTTGGGTTTCTGTCAGAAAGAGATTGAGTTTTTTAAAATAATGAGGACATTTTTTACAGGTAGTAACTGTTTTTTGGTGTAAGCTTCACTACTTTTAGAGACTCATTCTGGAATTGAATTTACTTCCAACATGCATATTTTCAGTTTTGGTTTGCTGAGCTGAAAAGTCAGTCTGCAAAGAAAAAAATTATTGGGCACACCTTTTAACCATTTATGAGGTAGATCATGATAGTTAAGGATGGAAAAATGTGATTACTGCATTATTCAGCGTGATTCTTGATTATAGAGATGCGTTCCAGGATCATCTTAGCTACATGGCCATCAGTATGACTGGTGCTTGGTCTGAAGATATGTCTGGTGTGATCTGGGATACTGTAGTTTCTGAGATGTTCTATGGGGTTGGCAAATAGGAAAAAGTAATGCTGGTTACCATGCCCTTCTGGGCAGCAGCTGAAGATGGAGCACAATAAGGTCATCCAAAAAATCAATTCAAATTGAATCAAGGCCAATTGTCAGACAATTGAGTCACACTTCAGCAGTCCTTGAAGAAGACTCCTGCCTCTCTACCCCTGTGGACCTGACTGTAATTCTGCACAAATACAGTAGAGAACCATTCACCTTTCTTGAAGATGCCAGAGAGGATGTGATGAGCAATGGAGGTATTTTTTAAAATGTGCTACATCTCATGTTCTAAACTGGCCTTGGTTGCAGGCTCTTTATTGTTACCCCGTTACCTTAAATTACACTTAATTCGAGCCTGATGAAGGTAACAGCAAATACAAACATTTATTCTAAGTACTTAAAAAAGGAAACGTAGTCATATGTGGGAAAAAATAGATGTGAAAAAAAATAGACTTTTTTTTACTGTATTTGTGTTGGAGTTGCATCAAATAAGAGTGTCTTCCAGATTTAGCTCATTTTGGGTTTGATGGCTGCCAAGATTTCAGGCCTTTTGTCTTCCTCTTGCTTGGTGCATCTTAACTTTACAGCTAGTTTCTCCTTTCCAGTTTTCTTAGGTGACTATATCACTTGAGTTTCTCCTTCTGAAATTACTTCTATTCTCTTAAGCAGGAAGTGGTCTGGCTATTCTAGTAATTAAAATAGAAGTAATGTTCTTTCACAAGTACATAAATAACTCTGGTTTATTGAACCTTCTGTCATCTCTGTTTTATATACAATTATCTTCCTTTTGGTGACTATTTGTCATTTTCAAGTGGGAAGTATATCTTATTCTGTGTCACCCTTGCTCTTTCAGTCCGGACATTAAAAATGCACATTTGAAATACCAGAATACTCTAATTTCATGTACTTTGAGTGAGATTCAGCATGAGCAAATTACCCACTTGAAGGTGACTTTTTTCCAGCATCTTTCTCTTAATGATATCTTTTAAAAGAGTAAAGGTGATGTTTGACTGGAAACCGTATTATACTGGGCAAGTCATTTACTCCTTGACTTAGTCTAAATGTCAGAATTTGTTCTTCTGACCTCCTGTATCATCTTACAAGGTACCTCTTGTGTAGCTCACATGTACACATAGCTGAGAACTTAAAAAGTGGAGGGGTCTTAATTTGTGATGTAGTAGAGAAATAAGAACAGACACCAAAAATGAACATGAAAATGCTTTGAAATGAGGATGCTGTAGGAAGGCAGGCTGTTATTGTTACACTTACAGAAAAGGACAACTTATCTATGTATGGATCATGTACTTCAAGAGCCTGAACAGTTCGGGAACAAAGTGAGAAAAGGATAAAAGTAGTTATTTCAGAAGTGAGATGACAGGGGAAGAAAAAAGTTAATCATGTACTTTTTTCATTGTTGTAGAGTTCAAATAAGCCTGGATTTGTGTCTGAACAGGTTTGTGATATTGTGAAATTTGTTGGGGTGGAACTTGACTCGTGATTATACATTTCAGTGTCATCCGTGGCATCTAATCATTTTGTAGGAAGGATGCAGCTTCTGATCTTACCTTCTATGACTTGAGTTTCAACATTGACATTTCAGAATGCTTTTATTTTCAGAATACATCCAGACCATAATGATGATGGAAGAATCAGTTCAACATGTTGTCATGACAGCCATTCAGGAGGTATGCTGGGATACCCGTAGTGTGAAAAAGCTCAGTCTTACATTATTTTACAGTAGTATGCTTTTTCGCACTTAGGAAAAAATTAGTTGGAAGTAAAGAAAATAAAGGGGCATAGATTTTGCCTTTTTACATTGAAAAATTTCTTAATTTTCCTTAGAAAAAATCTTGCTCTATGTCAAGGAACTCTGGTTGAATGTCCCACTTTTCTTTAAATCTAGAAGACTGAAACTTCTAGATATTTTTGATACTTGGTTCCCTTTCCTTTTCTTTTCCTACCCTGTGAATCCTGAAGTGCACTAGATTGATTTTATATGGATAACCAATTACTGTAGAATTTTGTCAAAATTTGTACATTGAAGCTGCAAAATTTCATAAACTGTTAATATTTTTAATGTTGAGTAGGCAATTAAAAAAGAAGAATTGGGTAACAGTGTTGTCTTGTCAGCTGTAGTGCTATGAATGGGGTAATGGTATGTAAAATGAGCATATATGAATAATACAATAGGCTGGTATGTTTTTAAAAGTCAGTGAGTATACTGCAGTACATTTTGTAGAAGTGCTCTTCTGTGGTGAATGAAAACCACAGTGTTAGCCACCGAAGTCCCCCTTTAAGTTACAAGAAGTCCAAAGTGCTTAGAGGATAAATGCCTGCCACTCTATAGATATTTACCACAGGGCCGGCCACTATCTAGGAAGGGCAGGAAACCACTAGTAATCTAGTTTCTTCTGAACCTGAACAAGAGAAACTAAATTGCACATTGAGCTTTAGAGCAGTTTCTCATCTCTGTAATGTCTGAATAGAGAAAGAAATATCTGTGAGCCTAGAAGGGGATCTGTCCACAGTCATTACTTTGACCAGTGCTATATCCATGCAGTCATACATTCAGTTGTCTGTGTGTGGACTGCTGTCTATAACATAGCAGAGAGGACTTTTGAAATGAGCATGAAAAGAATCATTGTCTAAATCATCTTCCAGTAATGCTGCCAAGCACCAGTTTGCTGGAGTTTTGGCATATTTTACTTTCTTGTAAGTTTTGTAACTGTAATATACAGTGTTTTGGTGGATTTTTCTAGTGTTTTTTATTAAACCCAAATTGCAACGTCACTGTCTTCTGCACCACCTTGAAATAGAAAACATTCTTTTATCTTCCTTCTTCGTGCTGAAAATCCATTTGATTTTTATAAAAGTTTCCTTCATTTGATAAAATAGCTAGACTTGAAGCAGCCCACAATTTTCGGCATTTGATGAGTAAACTTTGAATGTGTTCAGTGCTTGTGCCCTTTCTCTGAGATGATGAATAGAAGTAGGAAGAAATCACAGGGTAAGGGTATGTTCTTCTGGAACAGATTTTTAAAATTCAGTTAATTGAAAAGCTTGCTCTTCAGCTACTGGCACAGTTCTGAGTGATTTTAATGCTACTTTCTAAGCTGCTTAGAAATGGGAGGCATTTCAGGACCAAATAAGGAGGATCTCAAGTGCTTAATAAAGACGCAAAAAAAGTCAGACTTTGAGAGTAAGGCCTCTCTCTGTTATTTTTCAATGGGCTTGGAGTTTGGAGAGGTCCCAGTCAGCTGGAAACTAGCAAATACTATTCCAGTTTTTGAGAAAGAAGGAGGATGCTGTCAGTTATAGGCCTGTCTCACTTCAGAGCCTGGCAAAATTGTGGAGAAGGTTATTCTGGAGGTTAGATCATAGCCAACACAGATTGATATGGGAAGTCTTTAAAGGGGGGAAACTTCATGGTATTTTGTAAGGAGGTTTTTCTATTTCTTAGACTCATAGCAGCTCTTAGAGTTCAAGCGACTTAGAAAAAGCAGTATGTAGGAAATTAGCTATATATGCATATTTGAAAAGTTGGTATGTCACCTAATCCAAACATTTCAAAGCATTTGACATTGCACGTAGTCTTCAAAATTAGGTATGTCAGAAGATCTCTTTAAGCTTTACTGACGTGTTATGTAATTCAATTTTCTGTTTCAGCTGAGCATGTACAAATTTTTTTGATGCTTCTTTGGTTATTGTAAATCATCTTACTCATGAAAGTATTTCACGAGGCACAGTAGAACAAGCTCTCAATTTTTTTTATGAAAAAACTGATTTTTCAGTCGAAGAAGTAGCATTTTACATGCTAAATTTATTCAGTTCTTTCATTTTTTATTAACCTGTGGTTCTTCATAGTTTGTTTTCTTCACTTATTTAAATGTTTAAAATATGCCTTGTGCTTCATAAATGTTTTATAAATGAAACGGTGATTTTCTATTAGTTTTTAACTGTAGTCATATTGATCTGGTGTGTTGTCACCACTTAGAATCTGAGATGCTAATCTTCAGATGTAGGTATCAAAATGGAGGTTGTGCACAAGATACAAGATTGAATCTGTCAGTATGTGTAATGTAACAGTTTCTTTATTTCATGGCTTTCAGGTTTTTTAAAGGCCCAAAATATTTTCTTACAGAAATTATTTCCCCTGTTATTTATTTCCCTTTCCCCTTTCCCACCCCCCCCTTCCCCCCCACCCCTTTTCCCCCAAGGAGGGAGTAGGAAAAGGTGCTTACTGTCTGGGGTAACATCAATGATGTTATTTCCACTTCTTGGCTTTCTGGGGGTTTTCCCTCCTCTATTTGTTCCTGGTTGTTTAAAGATTTATCTTGCCAAAAGTAAAATTACTTTTTGAATAGTTTGGAAATGATATAAAAGTATTTTATTGGGTCTATCAACAGATAGACTGTAGGTAGACTGAGTATCAATTGGAGGAAGAAGAAAGTCCTGCAGCCGTAAAGGATATAGAGTGTCAAACATAGCCATGACTCTGAAAGACTGATAAAAAGATGTTCTAAGAAAAAGAACTTGAGTACGGAAGCTAGATTTTGACATTGCTTTGTGGGCACTTAAGTGAGCTTATACAGTATTACTAACCGTATAAAAAGCATTTCAGATAAAGCAAGTGTTTTGGATTTCACAATCATCAAGTAAATAGAGCAACTGTGTTTGCAAAATCCTGTGTAGGGGACAAAAGCTTTCATAATTCAGGTAATTCATGCAGGTTTTGTGATAGTTTCATCCCTTCCCTAATCTTCATGTATCCATGACAACACAGCTTGTTCACATTTTACAGTGAAAGCGGTTAAAAAGTGAAGGTTTTAATAATATAGGATTAGCAGACCTACAAGTGTTATGTAAGATATCATACCAAAGCTATGAGCATGAAAAATAATAGATGTAAAGGATTAACTGGGAGTGACAGCTGCTTCTTATAAAACGACACAAATAACTGTAAGAATTCTCATGCTGTCCATGTTTAAATGCACCATTTAAAATTCAGACTGACCTCTATGCAAAATAAACCAGAAAAAGAACAAGCCTGTAAATGCTAATTTCTAGTTTATTTCACTCTGGGAAGCTCTTAAGCAGGCTTTTCTTTCTCAAGTAGAAGCCTAGTGCAAGTGCTTGAATTTGCAAGCACATTTTTAATGTCTGATTTTTATAGTCTCTGCACATCATCCTCCATTAAAGTTGTATGTGAAAATAGGTGATTGTACTATACTTACACTAAATGATGGGTTTGGAAATGAAAGCCAGTTCCAGTGCTGCAAAATTGTGAAGGTAAACCTTTATTCTCTTTGTAGTCTGGTCCTGAAGAAAACTTACAGCTGTGAAGGGAAAACGAGAAGGCCACTTCCTTCTGGTTTTTATTCTCTTGACTCATTTGAAATACAAATGAAATAAAGTTTGCCCCTCTAAACTCCAAAGTATTGCCATTGATCCCCACCTCTCAAGACCACATACTGTAATATCATGCTTCAAGGTTGCATGTGGAAAACCTGTGTCAGAATTTTTTTCTGACTTTGAGCTTTTAAGTAAAGGAAATATATAGATATATGGAAATTAGCTATAAAAGTTATTAACAACCTACAAGTATTGTAAGATTATTAATAAATAATGCAGAAAGAGCTGATGTGCCATTGAGCAGGTAATGAATTAAATGAGCATTTTGCAACTGTAAATTTCAGTAATATCAGAGAATGCTGATTGACCGGGAACAAAGTCAAGAATAGGGAAAACTAGGTGAGCCTCTTACCTTTAATTTTTTAGGTGGATGCAAGGTATAGTGTGAGGTATTAAAGGTATTAAAACTCCCTTAAATTTCATATTGAACTTTTCCACTATACAGACCACAGACGGTCCAATTACAAGGTGCTTTCTATTGCACACGAGTCATGTGAGATATACATCTATCTGCACATACATCTGTGGCTCTTGGCCTTGGTGCCTTGTTCACATTTCCCCATGATGTTCTTAATGTGTATCCCAAGGAGTGAAATTCATGTATGCAGCGTGCATTCATGATACACCCAGACTATGTATCTCCAGTACCTAATCCTACTACTACTCCAGAAAGTGTCCATGCCTGGACATTTCTGCTAAGGGTTCTCAAGGACAGGATGTTTTGGGAGAGATGGCAAAACTTGCTGAAGAAAATAGGGATTACATTATTAGCCGTGGCCTGCCTTATGGCAAGTCACAGAAAGCAGTGACACCACAGTGGCCTCTGGTGGGTTGTGTGGTCACCTGTATTCCTTGAAGTCTTGGACAGGCCTAGTGAGCTGGTTTTTCAAAGAGGAATTTGTGTGAGGGCCAGAAAGGGGTGGTGGCTGTTAGGGACATGTTGTACACCCTTGCAGGCTGCATGCAGCCTGGGACCTGCCTGTTGGCAAGTGCTGACTTTGCAGGTGGCACTTACTTGTGTCCATGTGCGAGTACGTGTGTCTGAAATGTGTTTGTGAACAGCATTGTAGAATATAAAATATAGAGAAGAGTTCAGTATTTGGCTAATATGGAATATGCCTGTTAGTCATCTGGAAAAGCGGTGAAATTCAGGATTCAAAGTGTGTATGAACATCACAGAGCAGGGAGAGATTGGGAAGTTCTGTTTAAATGATAATCAGCTTAGAAAACAGGGTCCTAAATTGAAGACGAGTTTGTAATGCCATTATATTTGGCAATGAAAAAGACGAGACTTCATTTTTCAGGGGACAGCTCTGAGGCTAGAGACTTTCTAATTGTTGCATAGAATGTGGGCTTGATATAATGCTTCTTTGTAGTTTGTCATTGTAAAGATGTAGTGGAAAATAGAAGAAATTTGGAAATATTATCAAGGTCTGAGGAGGACTGCTGAGGGGAGATAGATTAATCTAAATTATGCAGGTGAGTCCAGTTAAGGAAATGGGGAAAGTGAAAGAAATATAAGTGTATGTATTTGAATGATGTAAATGGCAAACAGATTTTTCACTTGTACATGGTGGTATAAACAGACAGGATTGAAAAATGAAGGCTTTGTGCAATGCATCCCAAAAGACCTTGCTAAGGAAAACAGTGCAAAAGCACTAATTTCTAGAAGGAATAAAGGAAGTACTGTTTCTGGAGAGAGTTACCAGGCTAGAGAGGAGATTCCAAGAGATTCCATCTTGTCCTGATTTTGGTTGGGTTAGGACCTTTTTAATTGTAACTTTCATGAATTGTGTCAGTGGAGAGCTCTTAGAATTTTTTGTGTTTGGACAGAAACCAGCAATGCCCTTCTGTAAGGAAGCCTTTTGAATTGGTTACAGTGTATTTCTCATTTGTGAGACTGTTCCTGTTTTTGTCTTACAACTTTTAGTAAGAATATTCCCTTCCTATGTTTGCTCGAGCTGTGTGGGAGGAGGTTGCTGCACTACGACTTTTGCTACATTTGATTTCACTTTTATCCACAGGTGCAGCTGATCATTAGGTTACTATCAAAACTTATTTAGCAGCTTTTTTCTTTCTTTTGATCAGTACCTCAATCAGTTTTGTAGGATTTAATTTGAGGGTTTGTATTGAGGGTTTGGCTGGAGTTGTTTTTGATTTGTTTTGTTGTGTTGTTTTTTTGAATGTTCTGTGTGGAAACCACTATCAGTTATTCCTGCACTGAAGTAGTACACAAGGAATACTCATTTCAGGAGTGCACTCTACTGAATTACTTTTTAAGGCTGAAAATTACAGACAACTCCAGAACAGAATTTTGATCATGTTTGTTTTGCACTATTAGTTGAGAAAGATATGTCCTGGAGTTGTGTGAAATAAAAAAATAAATTTTTGTTAATATCCAGGTAATGGAACTATGAAAAAGCCTCTCACTAGCAGAGAAAAATTAAAGATAGGTCTTGGATGGTTTGCTGATATCTACTGTCATTCCAGTGCCACTGCAGTAAAATCTTTAGTGGGATGTTCTGTAGGCTTATCATAGACAAAGAATGTGCATTGTCAAAAGAAAGAGGTGATGTAAGTTTTTTTTTTTATAGCGCTCTAAATAATTATGAAGATATTTTCTCATTCTTGTTTCTGAATATGTCATATATAAAAATGAAGTTAAAAACTTTAATATTAATTCAGATTAAAGCTCCCAAAAGTGAAAATCAGCTTGGTATTTCATTGAAACTTAGATTTTAATATAAAAGTAAATTTTTGCTGTTTCTAATCCAGTGTAATCTAATTGCAGTTGATGAGTAAAGAGTCTCCAGTCTCTGTTGGAAATGATGCTTACGTTGACCTTGATCGGCAGGTATCTAAGACTAGATGTTTCTTTTACTTCAATCATAGCATGTCAGTGGCCATATTAAGAACTCAGTCTTTTTTTTCCTTTATTCATTAAAGGGTGTTGTGGAAAAGTAAAATAAGAAGTGAAAACCTTAATTTTAGTATTTCAAGTACTTTAGCTTTATAAATTGAGTTTATATTTTATTGAGCTCCTATTGTGTATTTAAAGGATGTAGACTAGTTGGTTTGAAAAACCAGTGTAGCTGTATGACATAAAGCAAAACAGCAGATTGATACAAATCTTTAGGCATGGAGAAAGAAAGAAAGGAAGGTCAAAAAGGTGTACTGTTTGAATAAATGTTTTTATCTGAGTTCCTCCTTCCAAAGTCTGTTAAAAAAAAACCCAAAAAACTGCTTCTATGGGAATCCTGGAACTGCTGCAAAATAGAAAAGAAGTTTTTTAATACAATCCTTCCTGGTGTGATATATTTAAAAATACGCAAACCATTTTTTTTTCCCACTAGCTTATCCTCATGCTAACACTGTCCTATTTCCTCGGTTTTTTTTTCTAATTGAAAAGAAGAGTAGTACAGTGGTTCTCACTGTATTTGTCCATTATGCTTTCTCTACAGAAATATGTAAATTATTGCAGATGAAGTAAATTAGTCGTATGTAAACAGGTCCATTAGAAATAAACTTGCAAATGCAAGGTATTATGATGTTGTTTGAGAAAGCATTTAAACTTCATCATATATAATAGTATTTATATATCTGTATCTATATACACAACATACATGCACGTATTTTATCAGACCAGTTTTCTTGTAGCTATGTTTTCTGTTATCCTAACTGCCTTCATTTGCAAGCCAGTGAGATGCATATCTTTAAGCATTAAGCCTTTGAAGGGGAGCATTGGAATATTCCCCAGTACTTATAAGGTTCAGTGTCCTTTTTTACAAGAGTAGGCTTATCTGTCACATATTAGTTTTGTTCCTGTTGTGCACTAGAAGTAGCTCCCAGAGTAGAGGGATTTTACCCTAATTGTCCATTCCCTGTATCCCACCTTTTAGTCCTTTCTGTATTTCAAACATAGATTGAGAATTGAAATTACACACTCTTTGTGTCTGTAAAGAAAAGTGGTATTGACAGTTCTTTTCAGTATAGAGATCTGGTGAGTTCTTCAGACCTAATTTCTCCTGGAGTTTTTGACTCAATTTATAGAGTAGATGTGATAATTCTAATCTAAGAGCAAATACTACTTTTAGGTACATTTACTTTTTACTGATATGCAAACTAAACAGTATTCACATCTGCTTCTTTTTTTCTTTATGTAAGCAGAATTGCTCAGTTTTTCAGAAAATTAATATATTACCTAAATGTAAAAATAGTTTTACAGCCACGTAGTTCAGAATATTTTTAAATCACAGAGAATGATGAAAATGTAAACATTTCTTGTTTATGGTAGCTGAAGAAAACTACAGAAGAATTAAATGAAGCCCTCGCAACAAAAGAAGAAATTGCCCAGAGATGCCATGAGTTAGATATGCAGGTAAGTTTGCTATAGAGTCCATATCAATTTTGATGTGGAGAAAAGATGTGGTAACTTCTAGGTGGCTGACAATAAGTGCTAGCATATTGAAACATTTTTAGAAGGAGGTTGAAAATGGCACAGTAGTTGTTTTGTTTTTCACTTGTGCTAGCAGAATGAATGTCATTGTTTCATCTTGTTTCCGTGTTGTCAATATTATGATTCATACTAGCAAAATTTCTTTTCATTCAGTTAGGAAGGGTTTGAGCTGTGTGGTAAAACTTTTGCCATAGAGAACTAATACAAGTTCTGCTGCTATAATAGTTCCAGTTAATAGTTAAATCCCAGTCAGAAGTTGCTGTAGACCATTAAAAGTGTACAGATTTAGACTAAGCCTTACTGTAAGTAAATCAATACTCATCTGGAAGACATGAGAAATGTGAAGGGGGAGCCCTGAAAGGTATTGCTATTGCAACCCTACTTTGAAATATTAATTCAGGTTTCTTGTAGTTCAGTAACTGTTGGAATTAATAAAGCTGATCTTTGCTTGCCATGGTTAGTATATGAACCCACATGTCAGGTCTTGGAGAACTTTGGGTTCTTTGCACTACCACCTGTTTTCACTGTGTTAGTGGAAACTGAGCCGTCTTCGGGACTGTGTTCCTCTTTCAGTCCTGCTTGCAGATGGCCTATACTGTGGAGAGCTAGTTTTATTTGTAGGGAAAGTGTGAAGATTTTATTACAATGAAGTTACCTTCTGCCTTAACAGACTTTTTTTTAAGTGCTTGTGTGACATATGTAGAAGAACTATTATGTTTCCTGAGTTGGAACTATGTCCCTAATGTTGCAGTATGTTGGTTACATCACATAGTAATTGAATAGCTATTAAATGACACAGTGTGTACTTGTGAACTGTGATTAGTGAAGCCTTTGTGTTTCTGTTTGTGGGCTCTATTGATACTTCATTAGGATTATGAAAAAATTCTGCTTTTTATACCTGGGTATGTTAATGATTTCTGTTCATACTTTTATTATAACAGGTTGCAGCCCTCCAAGAGGAGAAGAGCAGCCTGCTTGCTGAGAACCAGATTCTGATGGAACGTTTAAATCAATCTGATTCTATTGAAGATCCCAACAGTCCTGCAGGTCGTAGACACCTGCAGCTGCAGACACAGCTAGAACAGCTCCAAGAGGAAACATTCAGGTAGAAGAACTACATTTGGTTGGGTTGTTTGTTTGTATCTGGCAATAGTGGTGACTCAGATACTTCTGTTTCTGCTGCAGATATGAATAAGGATAATGGATGGTGCATAACCACAGTAGTATAGTTTTTAAAGTGATATATACATTATAATTTTGCTCTTTACAAGATTCAGCATTAAAAAAAGCACAGTTTCTTAATGCTGAAGTGCTTTTTACATCACTCTCCTCTGAGTTACTTTGAATTGCTTGTGTGCTGTTATCTCACCCATGTCTTGCAAAGTCAGGGAGAATTAAAAGTAGCATTCTTTTCTATATCCAAATTATTCTAACTGTATTTTGAAGGTCTACTAATTCCTAGATGAAAGTTTACTACAGGCTGTACTGCTGGTGGCATTATATACATAGCAAAATATGTCCCTCTCTAAATTTGAAAACAAATTTCAGAGACGATGAAAGATAGAGATTATCCATGTATGAGTTGTGCACTTTATTTACATTTCCCCAGTGTGTGAAAATACAGTTCCTCTTTGAACATCCTTCCTGGTCCTCTTGATTGTCGCTTTCAGGCTGTATAAGCCTAATTCTACTGAAAAAAGCTGGTTCACTTCACTGTAACCTTTTCATTCTCTTTGTCATACTTCTCCTTTTTTGAGTGAAATTACGCTATTTCTTTCTTTACACTGCCAGCTTTTCTTTTGCTGTATTCTTCTCATTGGCTTTTTCCAATTCTTACAATATATATGCCATGCTACTTTTCTTTTTTTGTCTGTTTTGCCGTTTTTCCAATTCCTCTTGCTAAGCCTCCTTTCTTGCTTATTCTGAGATATCTCCCATCAGTTCCTTGAAAAACATTCAGTGCTTCTCTTTCACAACTAGTGCCTGGTTTTCCTCTTTTTAGATGTCTACCATGTAAAGGAATAAAATAATTACATTGTCCCCTCTCCATGCTCTGCAGTGATTCCTACCTGAGTCTGGTATCAATTACTGTATGAACAGATTTTATCCCTCTGTTCAATATCTGTACTGCTTGTTACTGTAATTCCAGGTTCAGAAAGTCTTTTGAAGTCATTTTCATATGTAAGACTGACTCATTCCTGGTCTCCTTTACCTCTTTCCCCTGTCTTCTAATGCCAATTTGTATGTGTTGCTTCCAGCTCTACCTGATTAAGCAGGACATATGTACAGCTTAGCTGGTGCCTAGTGCAGTACATCATTTTACCTCCTAGTGCATCCTTGTGCTTTGACTATTATGGTCTGTCATGATCCAAATCTTGATTGCTTCTGTTTTGGATGACTTAAAGATTTTCTTTTGCCTCCATTCTTGTATAATGTTTTTGGATTCTTTGACTTTTTCTTTCCCTCATGCCCTTATTTATCTCCTATCCTGGATTTTTTTTTTTTTTTAATTTCAGAGCAAAATCACAGTAGGACTTTATGTTCTGGTTTGTGTGGAAGCTTCCACTGGTCTCAGCCCAGATGTTGAGACCGGTGGTTTCACGTGATTTGGTGTCTTGGGGCAGAAAGACAGACTGTAGCCCAATTGTCTGAAACGGAAAGCTTTAGTAATACCAAAACAGCAAACACTAAACTGCACAGGGTATATGGAGTGAACTAGGGGGAGTTCAGAGAGGATTAGTGCATGCACTATCCCTGGGTCTAGGGTCTGATAGGGGCATGTGTAAACTTGGATAAGGGGAGGAGTTTAAGGGAAGGATCCAGTAGAGCAGGGCAATTAGGAATATTAAAATTTCTGCTGCAAAACATAGCCTACCATAATTGATAGAGAGCAAAGGACTTTCTAGCTAGATCAGCATAACAGAAACAGGAGGAATTATGGGGGCAAAACTTACTCACTCTCACATAGAGGGATTTTTCCATGGCCTTAGGCTGTCCTCTAGCATCTCTTTATTACATTCAACCCCAATATTGTATCCTCTTCCATTCATTCAAAATACTTTGAAAAAGTTTCTATTACTTAGTCCCTTTGTTCACTGCCAGAGCTTTACCTATGGATAGTGTATGCAAGCAGTTTAGCAACTTTGGTCAGAGTTCTTTACTTGCTAACTAGATAGTCCAGTTCTCCAGATGTACTGAGCATGCATTGCTTCTTTAGGAGTTGATATTACAGCCACTTCAATGAGAGATCTATGGCATTTATGGTCTATGGCCACAATAACCCCCTGCAGTGCCATAGGCTGGGGACAGAGTGGCCTGACAGTGCCCAGGCAGAAAGGGACCTGGGGGTACAGGTGACGGACAACTGAACATGAGCCAGCAGTGTGCCCTGGTGGCCAAGAAGACCAAAGGCATCCTGGCCTGGATCAAGAGTGGTGTGGCCAGCAGGAGCAGGGAGGTCATTCTCCCCCTGTACTGGGCACTGGTGAGGCCACACCTGGAGTGCTGTGTCCCCTCAGTTCAGGAAGGACGTTGAGAGGCTTGAGCATGTCCAGAGGAGGGCAACAAGGCTGGTGAGGGGCTTGGAACACGAGCCCTGTGAGGAACAGCTGAGGGAGCTGGGGTTGTTTATCGTGGAGAGAAGTAGACTCAGAGGTGACCTTATCACTCTGCACAATTTCTTGGAAGATGTTTGTAGGCAGGAGGGGGTCAGTCTCTTTCTCCAGGCAACAACTGACAGGAGGAGAGGACACAGTCTCAAGGTGTGCCAGGGGAAATATAGGCTGAATATTGGGAAAAGTTTTTTATGGCAAGAGTGATAAAGTACTGGAATTGTCTAACTGGGGAGGTGGTGGAGTCACCACCCCTGGATGTATTTAAAAACAGACTGGATGTGGCACTCAGTGCCATGGTTTAGTTTAGGTGTTAGGGCATGGGTTGGACTCGATGATCTTTAAGGTCTCTTCCAACCTTGTGATTCTGTGATTTCTAACATCTAACAATCAGGCCAATATTGTTGGAGGTAGATGAGTTGGACAGCTGAACAGAATCTTCGAATAAAGATGTTATGTTCAAACTCTGGATGTCCAAAGATGAAAAAAGATGAAAATTTCTCAAGCTTCCCTTGTGAAAAACTACTGCTGTAGAAGGAAACCTTAGGTTTTGTCTTTATGAGAACATATGTTTCCTTGTGAATTTTCAAATAGAAAGACTGATACTAAATTGGGAGCATTGATAAAGTCAATCTGCTATCACATTTTGAATAGGCACATTGGGTTGTTGTTTTCCTTCACTGCAGCAGGAGGCCATTTCATGGGTTCTTAGAAAGATGATGATGAGGAAAGGTAACTGTTGCTCAGGGTAAGAAATTATTTCCTGGGTTTTTTTTCATTCCTACAGATTAGAAGCTGCTAAAGATGACTATCGAATACGCTGTGAAGAACTAGAAAAGGAAATTGCGGAATTGAGACAACAAACAGAAGAGCTTACTACACTGGCAGAGGAGGCTCAGTCTTTGAAAGATGAGATAGATGTACTCCGGTAAATTTCGTTCCATTAACTCTTTTTTAACTACTACCTTTTAATCTATATAATTTGTGTACTTAATTAACATTATCTTTCGTTTAAATAATTTAATATTAAACACTTCCAATGCCAAGATTCTTTGGATCCTCCAGTTTAGGTACACAGACTGACACACAATTCTGCTTTAGTAAAATAGTTGTTTATTTTGTATCTAATCAATAACTATTAATAATCTTAGTAGTTCTGTGCCAATTTAATTCATGGTTATAACAGGGCACTCACTGGTCTCTTTCAGTGTGCAGTATTCATCTTCATTGTGTCTCAGGCATCTGTTCTCATCAGAAAACTAGGCTGTTTCCTTTCCTGGGTTTGCATTGCTTGGACTTTGGGTGGTGCTTTTGGTTTATCATGTAATATTAATATGAAAAATATCTGTTCCAGCTCTCATTCCCATTGGAATTTAGCAACAAAAGTTGTCATGATTTGATGATACTAGGGGTTTATAGGGTGGGAAAGCCCTTTTTACTATGGAGCATATTCCTTCAGTATTGGCATCTATTGCCATGGGTTATTCAAGAGTAATTACCCATTCTCTCCAGAAGGGCTTATATACTACTGCTATTCCTGATTCACCAGCAGCCTTCTACCAAAGCTATCTGTCTGTATCCCTTCTGTCATTAGTACAAGGAACGAACCCATCAGGCTGCATAAACTGTGTGGATGGTGGCATGGGTTCAAAAAGCAATTCCTTGTTCCAAGAGAGAGGCCCTGCACCTGGCTGAGGATTAAACAGAGCTGGCCTGCCTCCATGTTCTATAAACTGAGCCATTAATTCAGTGGGAGATTTCCTGGATTTCACAGGAAGTTTGGTCTGTAAATTGGTTCATTCTGAAATGAAACTGGGAACAGTAATAGCAGAGGTTGCTGGGGGAAGTGAGGTCTGCTGTAATCTTGGCAATGCAGCAGGTGGATTGCTAAAACTTTCAAAAGCTGAAGCCTGGTGTTTTTTTAATGTTTTTATTTTTGAAGAAAGAATCAAGTTTCAAAATTGTTATGGTGCTTTTGTGCCACCAAGTACAATTTGCCAGAGGGATCTTTATGATTTTATTCCTAGTTATAAGTAAAACCAATTGGATGGCAGAAACTTTTCTTCTTTACCCTTGAAAAAATTAGGACAGAAGACAATTTAGGATTGAAAGGAAATTGGTGGGAGTGAGGTTATTTTTAGCTATTATGTTAGAATTGGAAACAGATAAGAAAGTTGTGTTAGGAAGAAGGATAGGGTCTAAAGGAACCTTCCAGCAACTCTTGTAGTTGATAAATAGTTGTGGGAAGAAAACAGACAATTTACTAGGAGGATATGATTGCCTTATTATTCTCCACATGGTGCCTCAGAATGTCTACTGCATTAAGAACAAATAGTGAAGAAGCATTTAAAATTCTGTTAGTTTTCAGAGTTCAAATTTGATACAAATCTGTCTCTTCAGGCATTCTTCTGATAAAGTAGCCAAGTTAGAAAGCCAGGTAGAGTCATACAAAAAGAAATTGGAGGACCTGGGTGATTTGCGGCGTCAAGTGAAGCTTTTAGAAGAGAAGAATACAATGTACATGCAAAATACCGTGAGCCTGGAGGAAGAGCTAAGGAAGGCCAATGCAGCACGCAGTCAGCTGGAAACATACAAGAGACAGGTGAGAACAGGCATCATTAGTGCAATACTACTCTATATTGTTCAGCACTTTGTCTTCATAACATGGCTAATACCTCAAAAAAAAAAAAAAAACTAGGAAGAAAACAACTCCTTTTTAGAAGGCTTCCATATTTTGTACGTGCTTGCAACCTTTGTTCTCCTTTCCTGCAATTCTTGTCATTACTACAAGTTTGTTACTATGTCAAAAAGCAGTATTTCTTGCATTTAAAAACTCAACAGATGTTTTGTTTTCTTTTCTAAAATGATTCCAAATTCATATTCAGTAGCAGGGCTTGAATTAGAGGCTTTCCTTTCACAAAAAGTATCTACTTTTCACTTAAAATTTTCCAGCAGTGAGGAACACACACACCACAGCTGAGGTAAGTTGTTCCTGTGGTTAAATAAGCAATTTTTTAAAGGTTTTAATTTGTCTGATACATCTGAATTTTTCCACTTAAAAGGAGAGAAGCTCACATATCATCCTTGTTGTTTATATGCCCCTAGGGGAATATGAAATATGTCACCAGCACATTCTGTGGAGTGATAGGCATCTGTTTATCCTCCTGCTTATCCAAGTGCCATGCAATGCTGTTTCTGTAAAGGTGGAAGATGTGCTTAATCTTCTTTCTGCTTCTATACTCCAGGGACACGATATCATTCTGGTATTCTTGTTACAGGGCTAGACAGCATGGTTGATTAAAGCAGTAGTGCCTGCTCTGTATTTCTGCCTGATCGAATGATCACAGCACAGGGGTCCCTGTATGTCAGTTTACTGTAGAATAAAGTATAGAAACAAGCGCTAATAATGTTGAAAGCCCAGGAGCAGTGTGTCTGCCTAAGACTTGATAGACTTTTTCCCTGTGCTTAGCCATCTCAGTATTTAAAACAACTAGTTTCAGCCTATGTGGGCTAATTTTAAATACAGCCCAAATGATATTACCAGAAAAATGATCTTGGACAAGAAAAATGTCCAAGAGGGCAAAGAGAAAAGTAAATGTAGAAAGGAATGGTCTTCCACACATGAGTAGTGAGTATCAAGTTTACAGGCAACCCAATCTTTTGCTCCATGAAATAGCTGAGCATGTGATATTGTTACGCAACCTCAACATCTGCATTTGATTCCTCTTATTTCACCAACCAAAAGGATTTTGGAAGGGCCAGTCCCATCATTTATGCTGCTAAAGTACTCCTTTTCTTCATTATTCCCTGTATTTTATGGGTAGGATTTCCTGTATAAGGAGCTGTTGTTTGGTGCAAAACTGTTTACTGGCTGGGACTGGAATAAACCTCAGGTGTCCTGTGGCAGATGTGTTTTCTTCACCTAAAACAGCAGTGTCTCAAAATGAACACTCTGTGGTTGTCTTCAGTGTCTGTAAGACTGGGCTCCTGTTGAGACCTGTCTGTGACTCATAAGCCACAATTTTTTTTCCTGGGAATCCTATATTGTGCTTTCAGAATTAAGCCAGATATAAGGTTCATGATGTTATGTCACTGCTGAGTACTAGTGTGCTCCTGTAATGGAATATGTCTTGTCTGGTGTTTCAAGGATCCAACCCCACTCATGAGGATGCCATTAGAGAGTTAATTCTTTGGCTTAGAATCAATGTGCTATGCAGATCAAATTCCTATAGTAATCTGCAAGGAAACTACATCTCCACTGCACAGAGCAGTTTCTGTGAGGTGAGATTGAGTGGTGTTTTGTTTTCACTCTTCTGAGAGCAAGCACAAGCCTTTTCTAAGAAACTTTATTTCAGCATAAAGAATTGAAATGTGAAGACTGCAGGATAATATATGTAATTTTAATTCAGCCCCTTTGTGCATGTGCATTCTGATACATAGTTAACAGTATGTTTTGCTTTTCTTTGTTGCAAGATTCCTGCTTTATTCATTCCACACACAGATAATGCTTATTAAATGTGATGGCAGTTCATTTTTTTTTTTAGTCTTCTGCATTGCCATGAAACTGTATGTTTTTCTATACACTCACAAGTCCTATTCAACACAAATTTATTTCCTGCAGTGTTTTTCTACATACCATTACCTTAGCATGATTGATTACAAGCAGAAATGCATTTGTTTTCATTTGAGGTGAAAATACTCATATTTTGCAAGTGGTGGCACTGTCACTGGTGAAGGCTTGCAGTTTTTTTGTTATACCTTCAGTTATTCTGATAGCCCCAGTGATAGATGTCACATTTGAAAAATGAAATATTTTCATATCTAGCTTGTTCATTTATTTAATCTCAGAAAATGCAGGCCTGTGCTGGTTTTGTAGTCTTTAATTTAAGAACAGCAGCAAAGTCCTTCTCTAGGACTTAAGACATTGCATATTTTAGGCCTTGTAGTTATTTTGATATAGTTGTACACATTGAAAATAAAAGGCCATCAGAACCACTGGGGAAGCTTGATGTATATATGGGCACTGCTTAATCACTTCCTTTGCAATCTAAAGGCCATGAAAAACACTTCTTATAAATTGCTTCAGAAGAAACTGTAGGTCTTTAATGGAGTCTTCATTCAGCTTTTGTATTTGCAGGTCAGTCTTTATTTAGCTTATTTGCTTCCATGCTCTACGCATTGTGAGCTTTACTAGTGTTCTGGGAATTAATCTTTGCTAGTAAAGGCTGAAAGTTTTGAAAAGGGAAGACTTCAGTGATTTACCTTCTGTTGTGCTCAGCTTTCATATTTCTGCTCACTTAATTTTAGGAGCTCTCTACTGATCTGTAGTTGAAAGCATACGTGAGGCAGTGTTTTTTGCTGAAATAAAGAAAACCGTTTGGATCCTGTGGCTGAGTCTTAGTGTATTAAAATTTATTAGGACATTTCAGTTTAGGGAACATTACCTGACTGCATAAATTAGTAGTTGAATTTTGAGTGAGGTTCATGAAATAAAGTTAGCAAAAGGTATAGATAATTTGTTTTCATCAGAGTCTTTTCTTTTTACTAGGCTTTTCAGAATGCAGAAAGATTTTTCTGCTGTTCTGAAGCTTTTTGATCCCTAGAACTACACAGCTTTTTTTCTGTAAACCTTGCTTGAGCTTAAATTCTTGTTTTCAGATGTACTGAAAATACTTCCCATCTTTTCTATCTTTTGCTTGCACTAAGACCTAATATTTGAATGCTTTTTATTTTGCTGAAACACAGAACATCGGATGAAAGAAGTTTTAGTATGTCCTATAAGTAACTATTTCACTTGTTTTACGACATGACTTGTGGTGCATTGTAATTGGCTACTTTGTCTTGTGTATTTTGTTTAACATTTGCAGACACATTATTGATTCTTGTCCTCACAGGCAGTTGAACTACAAAACAGGTTATCTGAAGAATCCAAGAAAGCTGATAAATTAGATTATGAATGCAAACGACTGAAAGAAAAAGTAGACAGCCTCCAAAAAGAAAAAGATGTAAGTGCCAAGGTGTTACTTTTTGTTAGTAACTATAGCAACTTTGTATCTTTATAACACAGAGATATGGTAATTATAGTTGGCCATCTTTTTAAATTAGGAAGTCTTTTTTCCTCTAAAGTTTTTCTGATGTTTGTGTACAAGATACTTTTAAACCTAAGAATTGTACAGCAAGGACTCAACTGACTGTCCAAAAACTTATGCAACTTATTTTTAAGAGGAAAAGCCTTCATATTTGGCATTTGAAGTTGTTTCCTGACCGTTTACCATGAGAAAGTTAATAAATACCCAGGGTAATTGTTATGTATTCTGGAAAGCTCTTTACAACAGTGTTTTTGCCGTACCATCCTAGAACTAAATTCCCATTGCTTTTTTTCCTAAGGCATTCTTTGAGGTACCGTCAGCATGCTTCTCTTTGTGGAGTCACCACTAGTGTAGCAAGAGACTTAGTAGTTGTGTAGAGGGAAATGTCCTTTGTGACAATCTCACCTTTTATGACAGCTCCTTGTTGTACTGCCAGTGTGGAACACACAGGGTAGATAGTAGTCTATGCCCTTCCTCTTGTGCCATTTTCTGCTAGTGATTCTGCAATTAGTTGCTCTGTATTCTCTTGCTGAGATTGATCCTTCAGACTTCTCTTACACACTGTCATTTCTCAACAGTTAATTTCAGCTTGTTTCTTTGGAATGTATATGCAGGTGCCTCAAACTAACTAAAATCAAGGTCAGCAGTTGACGCTAGCAGTTTCTTAGGGATATTTTAATTATAAATCCATTGATCCAACTGCCAGAAACTCTGTCAATTTTTTCTCAATAGTCGCATTTCAGGTCTACGTTATTGCCAAGATTTCTAAGCCCAGCACTTTCATATCATTTGAACTGAAAATTTTCAGTTACTTTATGTTTATAGGGCATTGATTTCCATTTTTTATTAAATTTTCAAGCTCTGGTGGACACTTGACCTTCACACCACTTCCATCTGCCCTTCAAATCAGGCTGGAATGCTCATAAGTGTATTGGTATTGTGCTTTGGCTTTCTTTCCTGCTTTTTATTTTTAAATTGTTTTTTTTTTTTCCAATTCTTTTATGTTGAACAATAGTAAAGTTGTTTCTGTGGCTTATCCATTGCTCAGTGGACCATTCCATCTTGCACAAAGGATCTGAATTGCAGGCCATTGTTACATAGTTTTCTGTTTTACCCCCAGGGAAAATAGCATTTTTTTGAGCTGGATGTTGTTTTTAAATACATTCTTTTGAATGGATATGCACTTGTGAGAAGTAAATTACAGCTAGAAGTCCGTCATCATGTGGGTTTGGTGATTCACTGTCTGTATTACCTACTCTTTCTGTTCTCTGTTTTCAATATGTATCAGTAAAGTAGCCCACCACAGGTCACAAACTATGGTGGTTTATGACAAGATACAAGTGGTATCTTGTCAACTATCTTTTGGAAATAGTTGCTGAAATTGATTTTATCGTTTTCCTTATGATCTGGCAAAGCATGGTAGTGTGTGATATCTTCATCACAGTAGCTTGAAATTTTACCTCTGTGGTGTGTTACTATTACTAAATAATTATTGAGCTGTGTGTACCAGTGAAGCCCTAGAGCTTTTTCTGGGCACTAAAATATTCTGTCATTTGGCAATCAGCTGTTAGTAAAATGAAATGCTGTCAGCCAACACAACTCCATACCTACACAAAGGCAAGGTGTGTTCTGGACCATTTAGTAATACTGAACATGTCTGATTTTGGAGCAAACTACAACTTGTGTCGTTGCACAGTAGCCAGTTTCTTTCCTTTTTTTTTGACTCTTGGCAACCTTCTGGACAAAAACTTGGCTGTCTGTAGATTCTCATTTTTTTTTGCCAGAAAGGTACTTGTGCCAAATGGAAAGAGTATTTGCCTGATGCTATGAATAGCACATCTGTCTGGATCCCAAGGCAATCCAGTCCTGTTCTTCAGTTCTCTTTGGACCGAGTCCTAAGCAACTAGTTTTCTTTCATAGCCAAGGTGCTGTGAATGACAAGTCCAGCTGACATACAGGAGGAATGCAATATGGAAATGCTGCTCATACTTTTCAGTAGTGAAAGACAAAGTGAAGTAAAAGCAGTTTGTTTGGCACATTGACTGTGTACTTAATTGCTTGTTATTTCACTCCTGGCTGAATCTTGGATTCATGGTGAGGGAAAAATCTGTGGTCTCTCAACTGACTTCTATTTCCCTTGGAATCAACCCTAATGAAAGGAGAAGGAAAACAGCTGAGTGGCCCCAGTGGATACTGTTTACTACCTGATTCCACAACTTTGCGTCACTAATATCTTGATTTTGTAAGCTTATACCCTTGCTGATTTTAGTCCAATAAGATCAGCAGCCCTTCTCCCAAAAACACCCAAATCAAGCTGTTCCTGTGGAATATGTAATACTTACATTTTTTATTCTGTTATGAAATGGACTGAGATACCTTAATTTGAAATTAATTTCTGGAGTTGCATTAAATTATTTTTAAAATTTTGAAGGCTATTAGAGATGGATTTGTACTGCCAAGACTGATACTCATTCTCTTTCCAATTATACAGAGATTAAGAACAGAAAGGGATTCTTTGAAAGAAACTATTGAAGAACTTAGATGTGTACAAGCTCAGGAGGGTCAACTCACTACTACAGGTAAAGGACAAATAAGGAGATTAAATGCCTCTTTCCTAAAGTGTACAGGAGTTTTCTGTAGAGTACTGAATGTGCTTTTGTTTAGCACAAAATAAATTTAAGATCTTAAAAAATCAGCAGTGAAAAACTTCAACTATTCATAGCTTCATAAGTAAGCAAAAGCTTTGAATGTTATTTCAATCAATCAGAAATGTTAGTCTTTTCTCCAGTGGGATATTTTTATAAGGTATAACGGAATTCTGTGTAGTTACATCATTTTCTTTAGAGGGATACTTTCTCATGATGTTTCCTGTGTTATAGTTCATTTGTATGTGTAATCTTGTAAACCTTTGTAGTTCTTAGATAAGATGAGCAGAAAATAAACTGCAATGTTATTTCTTCAGAATGGATAAAATAAGACCTAATGGTTCACCAAATGAAATGGTACTTGTCTGTCAGTCTTACTGTAGCCTGACTTCATGTCATTTTACATTGTCTAGCAGTAGTCTAAAACTTCTAGAACAATGTCTATTTCTTGTCATATCAGAAAGTAAGTGGTGTGCTTTTCCTTTCTTAGGACTGATGCCTCTGGGAAGACAAGAGCCTTCAGACAGTTTAGCAGCAGAAATCATTACTCCTGAAATAAAGTAAGCTAATGCGTGCTTTGTTTACTAACCCATACAATTATCAATGGCAAGCTGAACATTAGTCAGCAGTGCCCTGGAATCCAGGAGCCAGCTGTGTCCTTGAGAGCATCAGGCACAGCATTGCCAGGCAAGGGAGGAGATTTTCCCGCTCTGCTCAGCTCTGGAGCTGAGTCGTGTGTGCAGTTTTGGGTGCCACAATATGAGAAGGATATAAAGCTCTTAGCATCCAGAGGAGGGACACAAGGATGGTGAAGGGCCTTGAGGGGAAACTGTATTATGAACAGCTGAGGTCACTTGATCTGTTGAGCCTGGAGAGGAGGAGACTGAGCAGAGATCTTACAGTGGTCTCCACCTTCCTCACGAGAGGAAGAGGAGGGACAGACACTCCTCTCTTCTCTGTTGTGACCAGTGACAGGACCCAAGGGAATGGTCTGAATTTGTGTCAGGGAAGGTTTAGGTTGGATATTAGAAAAATGTTCTTGTTGTTGCTTTGTTTTATTTGTTTGGAACTTAATGATGGTTCCAAAAGAACTGAGTATTTATGAGGAAGAATTGAGGGGAAGGCCGCAAGGCAGGACCTCTGGTGGGTGTTTTATAGACCACTTATTGAGGATGCAGATCTTGAGATTGCTGGCCCTTCTTCTTCTGGAGGACTTCAGCTTACCAGATGGCTGCTGCAAATGCAGCACAGCAGAAAGGGATCAGTCTAGGAAGTTCTTGAACTGTGTGGAAGATAACTTTGTAACACAGCTGCTGAGCGAGCCAGCTAAGGAGGATATGGACTCACTGTTTGTGAATAGGAAAGGACTGGTGGATGAATTGATGATCAGAGGCCATCTTGGGCACAACAGCCACTGAATGAGAGAGTTTTTGATTCACAGAGAATTAAGAGAGGCCAGCATAACCTCCACTTTGGACTTTTATAGGGCAAACTTTATGCCCATTGGCCCCTCTTAGTTGACAGAGTTGCTTGGAAGTCAGTCCTGAAGGGCAAAGGAGTCTGGGAGGGCAAGAAGGAGCAGTTAAGCTGTAGGAGCAGGCTGTTTCCATGTGTGAAACAGTGAGCCATCAGGAAGACTGGCTTGGTTGCACAGAGAGCTTGGGCCAGAACTAGGAGTAAAAAAGTTTGTATCATATATGGAAGAAGGGCCAAAGCCACTCAGGAGGACTACAGAGATCTTGTGCCATTATGCAGGGAGAAAAGTAGATGGGCCAAAGCCTAACTAGATCATATTCTGTCTACTGCCAGTAAAAGACAATAAAAAAGTATTTCTAGAAGTACCTTCACAATTAAATGAGCGTTAAGGAGAATCTCAAACCCTTACTGATTGCAAGGAGAACCATACCAGTAAAGGGCAAGGAAAAGGCTGATCTACTTAAAACCTTCTTTGCTATTAAGACCACTGATCTGGAAGACAGATGCAAGAAGCTGAGTAAAGCCTCCACAATACAGGGGGAAACAGTTCATGACCTGCTATACTACTTAGACGCCAGCAAGTCCATGGTGGGTGGGATCCACTGAAGGGTACTGAGGGAATGGCTGCAGACAGGTGTTGCAAAATTCACTCTGAAACAGTTTTTGATTGTGAACTAGAGCTTCTTGACTTGCTACTGTAGCAAGTAGAGGCAAGAAAGAACCAAGAGGCAGGCCAAGTGTGCGGAGGGTGACTCTGCCCCAGTGCTTCAACTCTTCAAGAGCCCAGGGCATCCCCCCAATCCCTGCCCCACCATTCTATTTTCCAGCTGTGGGAAGAGTGTAACAATTTTAGGCACAGCTAGATGACTCAATCTTCTCGAGTGTGGCCCAGCTAGCTCAGTGATGAGGTTTCTCTTCACTCGAGTTTCGAGCCAGCATATGTTTGTGGGGTTCACTGATTTTCTTCAAGAATCCAAGTCTGTAGAGCGAGTAAAGAAATCAGGGGGGAGACTCTCTCTCTAGTTTGCATTCCACAGTTTATTTCTGTGAAGAGGAATCCAAAGGACGAGAGAACCCCGGGT